AGGATCCTGTATAATAGCAAATGTCATGACTGTCCTTGTTTTTGAAATATCGACTTGTACAAGTCGAAATTAGTGATATTGTGTGAACCTTTCAAAATTACACAAGTTTCTACCTGCATAACTCTTGAATTAAAATTCTAAAGATAAAATAACTGCATGTTGTCATTAAAGAACATATATTCAGCGGTTGTTCATTTATCGTACATCTGCTATGATCATGTGATTAATGTTATTTATTATGGTACAATGTATTATACTTTAAGTAGAAATACTCAATTTAACATATTGCTACCAATTTTATATAGACTTGCAAAAAATCTTTAAATTCCAAATTATGGGTCATACATACATATTTAAACAAGAGATTGAGATTTCAAGGACAGGATTTGAGGCCTGTGAAATTCTGTGTAATGAAAAACTAATACTATAACAAGTCTGTCCTATTTGGACTTGAATAAGTCTGAAAATGAATTTTATTCTTTTTGTAAGTACATTTACTCTGCTTGGAGCAAGGTTGCATTGCAGTCCAAATTTTTTATAAGATTAATCTGATTTACTGTGATAATTCTAAAAATTGCAAAAGCTTTCATTCTTTTTTTTTTTATTTTGTCTTTTTGTTCATACGGTTGTTTTGGACTTGAATAACTACAAAAGTGAATTTCATTTTTTATGTACATGTTAGTACATTAACTCTGATTGGAACAAGGTTACATTGAAGTACAAATTTTAACAAGATTTATCAGATCATCTGTGATAAAACCAAAACCTTTTGTTGCTATTTTCCATTTTGTCCTTTTGTTCATTTAAGGAATGACTGTAATATTTTTTCTGTCTATGAAGAAATAACATCAAAAATGTGGTGCACACTGAATAACCCGCGTAGCGGGATATTTTAAAGTGTGCACCACATTTTTTATGTTATTTCGAATAGACAGAAAAAATATTACAGTCATTTCTTATGATTTAATTCTAAATTCCATTTTAAACCGGAGTAAACCATGAAAAAACGTTGATGACTTCACGGTCACATGACAAAATTATGTCTATGAGCTGATAAACAAAACAACGTCAGCCAATCAGAAGACGCGTTACATCCAAAATTAAATTATATGGTTATAAAAAAAACTTATTTTTGATTAAGTCTGAAAATGATTTTTTTTTTCTTGTAACTAAGTACTCTGCTTGGAGCAAGATTGCATTTAAGTACAAATCTTTACAAGATTTATCAGATATTTTTTGATAATACCAAAAGCTTTTGTTCCTATATTTTATTTTGTCTTTTTATTCATTTGGTTATTCCAGTAAAATGGTATCTGATGTCAAAAAGGGGGTGTTAATTGATAATCAGCCAAGGGATGGGAGTAATCCTATCATTCATTCAGAAAAACTGGAAAGCTGTAAGAATACTCTTCTCTGATTACACTATTTGGCAAAAAATTAAAAAAGGTTAAAGTTTATCATTTTAATTTATTTGCCAAATGAACATTAAAAAGCTATCTGTTTAAGTGAAAAAAAAACCAAACTGAAAGATGGTTTAAAATTGAAGTTAATAAATAGAAAAACAGTCAAATACTCCAGACTTTGCATAGGCACAAAAAAAATATGACTGATATATTTTTATACGACCGCAAAAAAATTTTGTGGTCGTATATTGGTATGACGTTGGCGGCGTCGTCGTCGTCATCGTCGCCGGCGTCGTCGTCCGAATACACAATGGTTTTCGCACTCTAACTTTAGTTTAAGTGAATGGATCTCTATGAAATTTTACCATAAGGTTCAATACCACAATAGGAAGGTGGGGATTGATTTTGGGGGTTATGGTACCAACAGTTAAATAATTAGGGGCCAAAAAGGGGCCGAAAATAAGCATTTTTGTAACTTCCAGACATAACTTGTGTGTTATTGTATGGATCTCTTTGACATTGTACTACAAGATTCCATATCACAAAGGGTCGATGATGGGATTGATTTTGGGGTTAATTTCCTCGAAATTTTAAGAATAAGGGGCCAAAAGGGGGCAAAAAACAAGCATTTTTCTAGTTTCATGACAATAACTTGTGTGTAAGTGTATGGATCTTTCTGAAATTTTACTACAAGGTTCCATTTCGCAAAGGGAAAGCTGGAATTGAGTTTTGTGGTAATTGCCCAAAACGTTTAGTAATAAGGGGCCTAAAAAGGGGTGAAAAATAAGCATTTTTTAGTTTCTAGACAATAACTTGTGTTCAAGTGTATGGATCTCTCTAAAATTGTATTACAAGGTACCATACCACAAAGGCAAGGCTGTTATTGAGCTTGGTTTGGGGGGGAAGGGGGGGGGTGATGAATCATAGGGGGGGGTCAAAAAAGGGGTAATTATTTTTTTTCGTTTAAGGAATAAGGGGAAAAAAGGTTAAAAAACTAGGGTTTCCATTTTAATAGACAAATAATTGAGTAAAGAACATTATTTAAAAGCAGTGTAAGGTTGGTAATTCAAACTCATTTAAATATCTCACTTACACTGCTTTTAAATTAATTAAATTGGAAATTTGCCAATAACTTTATTGTTAATAAATGCATTGGAAATTTGCCAACAATTTTAGTATAATAAACTTCATTGGAAATTTGCCAATATAAAATTTTGCTGATGAAGGTTTTTTGTTTACCTTTAGCCTTGACTATGAAGTCATTTTCTATTTTTATAGCCTTATGATGTAGTTGAATTATTTAATACTTGTATGATGTGTTTAAATGGGGTTTTATGGTTGCAAATTTATTGTTTTAGTTTAATAAACTCCATTTAAAATTTGGTAATAAAAAAAAATTTTGTTTATTTTTAGCTATGATTATGATGTCATTTTCTATTTTACTTTTATGGTTGCAAAGAAATTTTTATTTTTATATATTACTGTTAAATGATGCTGATTAAGGTTTTTGCTATGTTTAGCCATGACTATGATGTCATTTTCTATTTTAATATCTGTCATGATGTATTTAAATGGGCTTTTATGGTTACAAATGAATTTTATTTTTAGATATTACCGGTACTGTAAAATGTTGCTGATTAGGGATTTTGTTTATTTTTAGCCATGACTATGATGTCATTTTCTATTTTAATACCTTTATTATGTAATTTCCATTTTTAGATATTACTGTTAAATGATGCTGATTGAGGGTTTGAATGCTGGGATTGATTTTGGGGGTAATTGCCTCCAAATTTTAGGAATTAGGGGGCAAAAAACAAGCATTTTTCTAGTTTCATGACAATAACTTGTGTGTAAGTGTATGGATATTTATGAAATTGTACTACAAGGTTCCATATCACAAAGGGAAAGCTGGAATTGAGTTTGGGGGTACTTGCCCAAAACGTTTAGGAATAAGGGGCCAAAAATAAGCATTTTTCTAGTTTCCAGACAATAACTTGTGTTCAAGTGTATGGATCTCTCTGAAATTGTACTGCAAGGTACCATACCACAAAGGGAAGGCTGGGATTGTTTTTGGGGGTAATTGTCTCAAAATGTTAGGAATTAGGGGCCATAATGGGGCAAAAAAACAAGCATTTTTCTAGTTTCATGACAATAACTTGTGTGTAAGTGTATGGATCTTTATGACATTGTCCTGCAAGGTTCCATATCACAAAGGGAAAGCTTGGTTTGAGTTTGGGGGTAATTGCCCTAAACTTTTAGGAATTTGGGGCCAAAAAGGTGCAAAAAACCCAAGCATTTTTCTAGTTTCCAGACAATAATTTGTGTTCAAGTGTATGGATCTCTCTGAAATTGTACTGCAAGGTACCATACCACAAAGGGAAGGCTGGGATTGAGTTTGGGGGTGATGAATCATAAGGGGGTTTCAAAAAATTTGGGGGGGGGGATTTTTTTTTCCTTTTTTTTCTTTAAAATTTTCCATTTTAAATTGGTTATTTCTGATTTATATATAAAAGCAAATAATAATGATATGGTTTGAATAGGTAAATTAAAAAAATTTAAGTTCTTAGACTACTTTCATTCTGTGTGAGAAACCTATGCTGTGTCAAATATTTAATTACAATCCAAATTCAGTGCTGTATGAAGCTTGAATGTTGTGTCCATACTTGCCCCAACTGTTCAGGGTTCGACCTCTGCGGTCGTATCAAGCTGCGCCCCAGCGGAGCATTTTATTGTATTTATGCAAGTCGAAATTTGATGATTATATTCATTGAAAATATTATATATCATTTGTCCCTTCATAATTGTCTATTCATCCGAAACAGCTTTAACCAAAACAGACTTTTTCCAGTCTGAAGACTAAAAATGACTCCTTCAGGTCGATTCTTGTAATAAGGGGACATTATCCCTACTGAAAAAATAAGTAATCTATGTGAATTTTCAGCTGTACAAAAATTGACTTGCAGAAGTCATTTTATGTTTAAATTGAGGTTTGTCGAATATTGACTTGATTAAGTTGAATTGTGATTGATGAAAAAAGAGAAATAACTCTTGTATTTTACTTATTTTGACTTGTAGAGGTCAAAACATGTTTCGACTTGTATGTGTCTGAGCTCTGACTGATTATTGTGATACATGTAATTAAACCATGAAAAGTATGTTTGTGAAAAGTGACTTGTCTAAAATATGGGTTAGAAGGATAATAAAGTAACTGAAGAAAGCCAACGGCTGAAATGTCTGAAAAATTGGTCCAAAGATTACAGCAAAAAGCTGACAAATAAAAGCTGTAATGAAATGTTTTAAAGGCTTACCTCTCACAAGATATCATCTACCTCCTTTATGAAATGACTGAAAAAAAGATAATGTACTGATTATCCCATTCCAGATGCTTTAAACAAAATTGGAACTGACTTTACGACATGGTACAACGTCATGAAATTAGTAGGGAAACCTTTTTTCCTCTTTTTGGTGAGGATTTTGTCATTGGGTAATGAAGAATGAATCTTTTATCTATATGATTGCTTTTACATCAGTAAGGAGCAGAGATTCTATAAAACTAATGATTCATATAATTATTTGTATAATCTATATTTTTTTCAGAGTGCAGTGGTTTGAATTGGGGACCTAATTGTGCCAGAAAATGTAGTGAATGCTCTGCTAATACCAAGAGATGTGACAGAGTAAAAGGTTGTATTTGTGCCTCTGGATGGACTGGTGCCACTTGTTCTCAGGATATTAATGAATGTGATCAGACTAGTATCTGTGGAGAATTAGAAGATTGTAAAAATTCTTTTGGATCGTACGAATGTGTTTGTAAAACTGGATATAAGAAAGGATCTGATGGATCTTGTCAAGGTATCTAATTCTCCATTTATTATTGCCTGCCCACACCCCATTTGTCTTTCTATCCACTAATCTTGTGAGTACATCTTGACTGAATTTCAATGAAAGCTCACACAAAGGTGCAAATGCTTAGTGATTCAGGTTTTTTTTTGTTAATTTCGAAGGGGAGGTAATTGAAGTGTGGTATTATTTTGTGAGCTCAATCACAGACCCTCTAGTTATAGACGTAAAGATAAAAGGCATGTTTGGCTAACACATTTTGAAAATGCTGGTAAAACAAAGCAGCAAAATTACGGTGAATATTTTTGAAATCTACACAAAATATTCATGTTACCCACAAAAATAAACACCTCTGTTGAATAATTCATAATAATTCTACTGAGGTTTTGTTTGCAAGTGATAAGCAGTTCTATTTTCAACTTGATGTGCTGGACATTTCAAATTTCACATGTATTTTGTAACTCTACTGGGAATTTACTTAGTAAAGCATTACCAAAAATAGCACCTGTACATACTGTAAACATTTGGTTATTTTTAAATCATATATAACTGACGAACAACCAAATAGATCTTTCTTTATTAAGTCTCTCAAACGAAGTTTGGGAAGACTTATTGTTTTTGCTCAGTTCTTCTTCTTCTTCTTCTTCCGCCGCTTTTAAATTTGAACTTGTCCGCACCCGTTCTCCAAAACTGCTTGTCAGATTAACTTAGGGTTTCACAATATGTTAGACTAACATGTCTAGTGGTGCAATCAGGGTTTTGTTTGTGCAATGGGGTTTATAAAGGGGTACTTTGAGGGGCAAAAAGAAAAGAGGGTTTTACTATAGAACCCTATAGGATTTTATTTTTTTAAATTTTCAAATGATTATAAATTGAAAACCGTTTGTGATAGACACAATCTTTTTAATTGAAAATGTTCTAAATGATAAAGCCCATTAAATGAAATACAGGGTTAGTCCCCAGGGGCCACCCCCACCCCTGCCATTTAAGAAAGTTCTAATACCTTGTAAGTGGTCAAGATCCCCACCCCTAAACCATATATATTTTGGTTTGTTATGCTAAGATGGTTTGAATGATATACAGGGTTAGTCCCCAGGGGTCATCCTGACCCCCTGCCATTTGAGAAAGTTCTAATATCTTGTAAATGGTCGAGATCCCCACCCCTAAACCATATATATTCTGGTTTGTCATGATAAAGCATCAAATTTAATACAGGGTTAGTCCCCAGGGGTCACCCCCACCCCCTGCCATTTAAGAAAGTTCTAATATTTTCTAAGTGGTCAAGATCCCCACCCCTAAACCATATATATTCTGGTTTGTCATGCTTAGATGGTTTGAATGATATACAGGGTTAGTCCCCAGGGGTCATCCTGACCCCCTGCCATTTGAGAAAGTTCTAATATCTTGTAAATGGTCGAGATCCCCACCCCTAAACCATATATATTCTGGTTTGTCATGATAAAGCACATCAAATGAAATACAGGGTTAGTCCCCAGGGGTCACCCCACCCCCTGCCATTTAAGAAAGTTCTAATATCTTCTAAGTGGTCAAGATCCCCACGCCTAAACCATATATATTCTGGTTTGTCATGCGAAGATGGTTTGAATGATATACAGGGTTAGTCCCCAGGGGTCATCCCGACCCCCTGCCATTTGAGAAAGATCTAATATCTTGTAAATGGTTGAGATCCCCACCCCTAAACCATATATATTCCTATTTGTCATGTCTCCAACATTTGAATGACATATACGGTCAGTCCCCAGGGGTTCCCCCCACCCCCAATGTTCTAATATCTTGTAAATGGTTGAGATCCCCACCCCTAAACCATATATATTCCTGTTCGTCATGTAATGAACATTTGAATGACGTATAGGGTCAGTCCCCAGGGGTTCCTCCCCACCCCCAATGTTCTAGTATCTTGTAAATGGTCGAGATCCCCACCCCTAAACTATATATATTCTGGTTTGTCATGCCAAGATGATTTGAATGATATACAAGGTTAGTCCCCAGGCATCACTAATGCATATAACTTTACTGGACCAAACCAATTTTCACTGGACGTTGCCCAATGTCAGGCGACCCTGGGAATTACGAATTATGGGAGCTTCGTTTGGGAGACTTCGTAACAGAATCCTGTTACAATCATTTCTTGTTTTTTTTAATTCATTATATATCATCTCTTAAAAAATTAAGATTTAAGGAAATTTTGTTATTTTTATTTTTCCTAACTACATTGTAACATCCTTAACAGAATATTCATGCTAACTACTAGTCAGTCTGATTGACTTCTTGATTACTTTAAGAAAATCTTGCACTTTATTGGTTTTAAAAAACTGTTGATTGACAATTCTAGAAAATGTTTAATTTATTTCCAAGATAGTATGTCATGTATGCAGCTATAATTAATCGTAGAACATTCAGAAATTTTGTTGTTGTCGGACTTTGATATAGATAGGGATTAACAACTTACATCCCAATTAAACTATTAATTCAATAGAGTTGGAATAAAAATTATTTATTACCTGTACAATACAATGTGTGTGTATGTCTTTGTTTTTTCCAGATGTAAATGAATGTGTAACAGGATTAAACAATTGTGATAGAAATGCTGAATGTGTCAATACTGTAGGAAGTCATTTATGTAGTTGTAAATTGGGGTATAGTGGAGATGGTCTGACATGCTCAGGTAAAATGTAACAAGAATATGTATTAGTATTTAAGCAATTTAAGATTTTGTTGATATTTCCACCAAGGACAAGAAGATTCACATTTGGTCACTCAAAGGAGTGGAAAATGATTGATATCAGATACTGTGGATTCATGTATTTTCGTGGGTGCCAATTTTCGAGGATAGAGAAAACTTGTCTTTTCATGGATTTTTGTCAAGCTTGCGACATAGCGATCCTACATTCCATCGTCGGCGGTGGTGTCCACAAATATTCACTCTGTGGTTAAAGTTTTTGAAATTTTAATAACTTTATTAAACTATCCTGCATTTCTACCAAACTTGGACAGAAGCTTGTTTATGATCTTAAGATAGTATCCAGAAGTAAATTTTGTAAAAATAAAAATCCGGTTTATCCGTATTTTACTTATAAATGGACTTTTTTCTGCCAGTTAACATTACATTCACCCTGTGGTTAAAGTTTTAAAAATTTTAATAACTTTCTTAAACTATCCTGGATTTGTACCAAACTTTGACAGAAGCTAGTTTATGATCAAAAGCTAGTATCTAGAAGGAAATTTTGTAAAAGTTTATTTCTAGTTTTTCCATATATTACTTATAAATGGACTTAGTTTTTCTTCCAGTTAACATTACATACAGTCTGCAGTTAAAGTTTTTAAAACACTTATTAGATTCATACACCATCCTGGATTTTTACCAAACTTGGACAGAAGCTTTTTACAATCAAAAGATAGTATCTAGAGGAAAATTTTTAATAAGTTTTTTGTCGAGCCTGTGACTTTTGTCGCAGAAAGCTTGACATAGGGATAGTGATCCGGTGGTGGCGGCGTTAGCTAACTTCTTAAAAGCTTTATATTTTAGAAGGTGGAAGATCTGGATGCTTCATACTTTGTATATGGATGCCTCATGTTACGAAGTTTCCGTCAGTCACATGTCCAATGTCCTTGACCTCATTTTCATGGTTCAGTGATTACATGAAAAAAAAGTTAAGATTTTTTGTAACGTTAAATTCTCTCTTATTATAAGTAATAGGATAACTATATTTGGTATGTGCGTACCTTGCAAGGTCCTCATGCCCGTCAGACAGTTTTCACTTGACCTCGACCTCATTTCATGGATCAGTGAACAAGGTTAAGTTTTGGTGGTCAAGTCCATATCTCAGATACTATAAGCAGTAGGTCTAGTATATTCGGTGTATGGAAGGACTGTAAGGTGTACATGTCCAACTGGCAGGTGTCATCTGACCTTGACCTCATTTTCATGGTTCAGTGGTTATAGTTAAGTTTTTGTGTTTTGGTCTGTTTTTCTTATACTGTATGCAATAGGTCTACTATATTTGGTGTATGGAATGATTGTAAGGTGTACATGTCTAGCTGGCAGGTGTCTTCTGACCTTGACCTCATTTTCATGGTTCAGTGGTCAAAGTTAAGTTTTTGAGTTTTGGTATTTTTTTCTAATACTATATGCAATAGTTCAACTATGTTTGGTGTATGGAAATATTTTATGATCTGTATGTCAGTCACGCAGGTTTTATTTGACCTTGACCTCATTTTCAAGGTTCATTGCTCAGTGTTAAGTTTTTGTGTTTTGGTCTGTTTTTCTTAAACTATAAGCAATAGGTCAACTATATTTGTTGTATGGAAGAATTGTTAGCTGTACATGCCTGCCTAGCATGGTTCATCTGACCTTGACCTCATTTTCATGGTTCATTGGTCAATGTTTAGTTTACTTGGTTAATGTTAAGTTTATGTGACAGTTGTAATAAAGCTTTATATTTAGGACTATCAACATAATATCAATGATTAGTTAAGAAGGCGAGACATTTCAGCGTGTGCACTCTTGTCTCCATTTTTTTTGAGCCTGCGACTTTTGTCTTCCAGACAATCTATAGATTTGATTGAACACTGTATTCATTTTTTACAAGCATAACTTTTTTCATACGTTTCAAACGTTTTATTTCATTAACTGTAAATCTATTATGTGCATTCCCCTATCACACTGAAAACATTGACACTGGGTTCTGCAGAACCCTTACGAATTTTTAATTTCGTTTGTTTGCCAAGGTCTGTATACAATTCTTTAGAAAATGTGTACTTTGTGGAACATTTCAATTCATGGTTTACCTATCACAAAATCCATGAAAATTGGTTTCCCACAAATTGTAATAAATCCACAGTAGTATCATGTGTGTTATTAATGGTGCTATTTGTGTTAATGATGTTGAAACTTACCATCACTTTTGAAATCTTCTCCAAATACTCCATGATATATCTATTTCCTGCGATTGTAGAATTTGTAAAACTGACATATTGAGAGGGAAAGCATGTTTTTTCCTATTGGTCTGAAATACAATATCATGTGTTAAAATCTATTTTACTTGCAGTCTGCTCCACTAAATATAAGTTGAACATAACTTTGAAAATGCAGTTGTACCTTCATTTTTAGCTCACCTGGCCAGAAGGGCCAAGTGAGCTTTTCTCATCACTTGGCGTCCGTCGTCCGTTGTCGTTAGCTTTTTACAAAAATCTTCTCCTCTGAAACCACTGGGCCAAATTTAACCAAACTTAGCCACAATCATCATTAGGGTATCTAGTTTAAAAAATGTGTCCGATGACCCCTCCAACCAACCAAGATGGCTGCCATGGCTAAAAATAGAACATAGGGGTAAAATGTAGATTTTGGCTTATATCTTTGAAACCAAAGCATTTAGAGTAAATCTGACAAGGGTAAAACTGATTATCAGGTCAAGATCTATCTGCCCTGAAATTTTCAAACAAATCTGACAACCTGTTGTTGGGTTGCTGCCCCTGAATTGGTAATTTTAAGGAAATTTTGCCGTTTTTGGTTATTATCTTGAATATTATTATAGATAGAGATAAACTGTAAACAGCAATAATGTTCAGCAAAGTAAGATCTACAAATAAGTCGACATGACCAAAATTGTCAGTCGACCCCTTTAGGAGTTATTGCCCTTTATAGTCAATTTTTAACAATTTTTCGTTAATTTTTGTACCGGTAATCTTTTACAAAAATCTTTTTCACTGAAACTACTGAGACAAATTTAACCATACTTGGCCATAATCATTATTAGGGTATCTAGTTTAAAAATTTGTCCCATGACCCCGCCTTCCAACTATCATAGCCAACTTGGTTAAAAATAGAACATAGGGGTATTTTCAGACGAATCTGACAACCCGTTGTTGGATTGCTGCCCCTGAGTTAGTAATTTTACAGAAAATTTGCAGTTTTTTGTTATTATCTTAGATATCATTATAATATCTAATATCTAATACTATTAATTATGATTTTAACCTTATTTTATATGATTTCCAAAGCAACAGTAAACACAGGTGAGCGACACAGGCTCGTGAGAGCCTCTAGTTTAATGGACTATTGTTACTATTTATGATTAATAATGTGTAAGTTTATACTTTTTTATACGACCGCAAATTTACAGTCGTATATTGGTATGACGTTGGCGTAGTCGTCGTCGTCCGAAGACACATTGGTTTTCGCACAATAACTTTAGTTTAAGTGAATGGATCTCTATGAAATTTTACCATAAGGTTTAATACCACAAAAGGAAGGTTCAGATTGATTTTGGGGGTTATGGTACCAACAGTTAAGGAATTAGGGGCCAAAAATAAGCATTTTTGTAACTTCCAGACAATAACTTGTGTGTTAGGGTATGGATCTCTCTGGCATTGTACCACAAGGTTCCATATCACAAAGGGGATGCTGGGATTAATTTTGGGGGTTATTGCCTCAAAATTTTTGGAATTAGGGGCCAAAAAAGGGGCAAAAAACAAGCATTTTTCTAGTATCATGACAATAACTTGTGTGTAAGTGTATGGATCTTTCTGAAATTGTACTACAAGGTTCCATATCACAAAGGGAAAGCTCGAATTGAGTTTGGGGGTTATTGCCCAAAACGTTTAGGAATAAGGGACCAAAAAGGGGCTAAAAATAAGCATTTTTCTAGTTTCCAGATAATAACTTGTGTTCAAGTGTATGGATCTCTCTGAAATTGTACTGCAAGGTACCATACCACAAAAGGAATGCTGGGATTGATTTTGGGGGTAATTGCCTCAAAATATTAGGAATTAAGGGCCAAAAAGGGGCAAAAAACAAGCATTTTTAGCTCACCTGGGCCAAGTGAGCTTTTCTCATCACTTGGCGTCCGTTGTCCGTCGTCTGTTAATTTTTACAAAAATCTTCTCCTCTGAAACTACTTGACCAAATTTAACCAAACTTGGCCACAATCATCATTGGGGTATTTAGTTTAAAAAATGTGTCCGTTAAAAATAGAACATAGGGGTAAAATGTAGATTTTGGCTTATATCTCTGAAAACAAAGCATTTAGAGTAAATCTGACTTGGGTAAATTGTTTATCAGGTGAAGATCTATCTGCCCTGAAATTTTCAGATGAATCGGAATACCTGTTGTTGGGTTGCTGCCCCTGAATTGGTAATTTTAAGGAAATTTTGCCGTTTTTGGTTATTATCTTGAATATTATTATAGATAGAGATAAACTGTATACAGCAATAATGTTCAGCAAAGTAAGATCTACAAATAGGTCAGCATGACCAAAATTGTCAATTGACCCCTTAAGGAGTTATTGCCCTTTATAGTCAATTTTTTACAATTTTTATAAATTTGGTAAATTTTTGTAAATTTTTACAAAATATTTTCCACTGTAACTACTGGGCCAAGTTCATTATGGATAGAGATAATTGTAAGCAGCAAGAATGTTCAGTAAAGTAAGATCTACAAACACATCACCATCACCAAAACACAATTTTGTCATGAATCCATCTGTGTCCTTTGTTTAATATGCACATAGACCAAGGTGAGTGACACAGGCTCTTTAGAGCCTCTAGTTCTAGTTTCAGGACAATAACGTGTACTACAAGGTTCCATATCACAAAGGGAAAGCTGGGTTTGAGTTTGGGGGTAATTGCCCTAAACATTTAGGAATTTGGGGCCAAAAAGGGGCAAAAAAACAAGCATTATTACAGTTTCCAGACAATAACTTGTTTTCAAGTGTATGGATCTCTCTGAAATTGTACTGCAAGGTACTATACCACAAAGGGAAGGCTGGGATTGAGTTTGGGGGTGATGAATCATAAGGGGGTTCAAAAAATTGGGGGAGGGATTTTTGTTTCCTTTTTTTTTTTTTTCCTTTGTTTCCTTTTTTTTTTTTTTTAAATTTTCCATTTTATGTTGGTTATTTTTTATTTATATATAAAAGCAAATAATAATGATATGGTTTGATTTCATATGCTGAATTTAACTGGGTAGTTAGATTCTTAATTTTTGGTCCCGTTTTCAAATTGGTCTACATTAAGGTCCAAAGGGTCCAAAATTAAACTTAGTTTGATTTTAACAAAAATTGAATTCTTGGGGTTCTTTGATATGCTGAATCTAACCGTGTATGAATTTAGATTTTGGATATTGGACCATAATAGGTAAATTAAAAATTTTTAAGTTCTTAGACCAAATTCATTCTGTGTCAGAAACCTATGCTGTGTCAAATATTTGATCACAATCCAAATTCATAGCTGTATCAAGCTTGAATGTTGTGTCCATACTTGCCCCAACTGTCCAGGGTTCGACCTCTGCGGTCGTATCAAGCTGCGCCCAGCGGAGCATTTTATTAAAAATACATTTGAAGTATCAAACTTCCTGAAATCCATCAAAGTATTGTGGGGCATTTGATCAGACAAACTGGGATAATTAATATGACGAACAAAAAATCCTGAAAAATAACCAGTTTTCCCTGAGTTCTGATTTACACAAAATCTTAATCTTTTCAAAGAATTTTGCAGTTGTTTTACAATATAAATCATGAATTTTAATTGAAAAATTAAGCATTTATAGTATTTAAGGATTAATCAAAATGGTGGTGGCAAAAAAAAAGAGAAGGTATGATAAGAGCCATTGTTTGGTCCCTGAAATTGCAAAAATAGTAAAATGATTCAAGCCTTTCAAAACTTTTTTTTTTTTTACATTTTGAATATTACTAAGTTAATAAGTCCCAATATCATTAGAAACCATCATAGAATCACAACAGATTATTCAACATTATATTGAAGATATTCAAATGACAGATTTATAACAAATTGTCTTCCTTTTTATTGCAGATATTGATGAGTGTGCTTTGGGAACAGACGACTGTAAACAAGACTGTATTGATGTTATTGGTAGTTTTAACTGTGATTGTCGTATTGGATTTACATTAAATAGTGACAGGAAAACCTGTTCAAAGATTGTGCTACCAGAAGGTAAACAATCAAAGTAGCCTTAGTCATAAACAGGAAAACCTGTTCAAAGATTGTGCTACCAGAAGGTAAACAATCAAAGAAGCCTTAATCATAAACAGGAAAACCTGTTCAAAGATTGTGCTACCAGAAGGTAAACAATCAAAGAAGCCTTAGTCATAAACAGGAAAACTTGTTCAAAGATTGTGTTACCAGAAGGTAAACAATCAAAGTAGCCTTAGTCATTAACAGGAAAAACAATCTTTACAAGATAGCATGTGTTCATTTATAAAGAACAGTAATAAAACAATATGTGAAACCAAGAGGGGAGTCAAAATCATAAGTCGAAGGACAGTCAACACATAAATAAACGAGAAAGAAAATACTGAAAATTTAGTCTATAAAAAACTAAACAGAAAACTAAAGATTGAACAACATGGACAACCTTAAAACATTTAAAGTGAAAGCAGGTGGGTGAGCAGATAAGGTTTCACTTGTGACACCAATTGCTTTGGTGATGACCAGTTAAAGTTTTATGATATTTAATGAGCTAAGAGGAGGATGAGATTGTGGCTAAGACAAATGGAAATCTCTGGTCATTTGTGGCACAATTATTTTGTTACAAATTATGATGTTATTTGTTACACATTGAAAGAAAAGAATTCAACTTTACCATTGAGAAGTTTGTTAAATAAGAATAAAAGATTCCCTGCTGAAAAAAGTCGCAACTGGCATTAGTAGCTGAATCAAATATTTATTTTGTATGGTATTTTTTTCCTTTTGTTAGAAGAACCTTGTCTGAAAGGAAAAGGTGTTGAATAATCATTATAATTTTTTGTTTTTTTTTAGTTGAAAATAAGTGTAACAGTACCAGTCTTGTATGTGATTTAGTAAATGGGGGATGCAGTGTCAACAGCACAGGAGATGCCTTCTGTTTCTGCAACTCAGGCTATGAGTTTACTAATCCAGGTGTTGATTATACCTGTACAGGTTGGTAATTTGTTGATTTTTATCAAGATTATTTTAACGTTGTATCATTTTAGCAGATAATACTAAACTTTTCATTAAAAAAGTATGTAGTTACCAAGTTATTAATTAGAAGGTGTTTACATTGTTAAGGAAAAGATAGGATTTTGATCCAAATTGGCCATAAAATAAAATATCAAACTATCTCTGATTATCAAATTCATTTGTTGACTGTATGTTCTTAAAAAAACAGTCATATGTTCCTAAAAAAAACAGTCATATGTTCCTAAAAAAAGCAGTCATATGTTCTTAAAAAAGCAGTCATATGTTCTTAAAAAAGCAGTCATATGTTCCTAAAAAAGCAGTCATATGTTCTTAAAAAAGCAGTCATATGTTCCTAAAAAAGCAGTCATATGTTCCTAAAAAAGCAGTCATATGTTCTTAAAAAAGCAGTCATATGTTCCTAAAAAAGCAGTCATATGTTCTTAAAAAAGCAGTCATATGTCCCTAAAAAAGCAGTCATATGTTCTTAAAAAAGCAGTCATATGTTCCTAAAAAAGCAGTCATATGTTCTTAAAAAAGCAGTCATATGTTCCTAAAAAAGCAGTCATATGTTCCTAAAAAAGCAGTCATATGTTCTTAAAAAAGCAGTCATATGTCCCTAAAAAAGCAGTCATATGTTCTTAAAAAAGCAGTCATATGTTCCTAAAAAAGCAGTCATATGTTCTTAAAAAAGCAGTCATATGTTCCTAAAAAAGCAGTCATATGTTCTTAAAAAACACAGTCATATGTTCTTAAAAAAGGCACTGCAGTTTTAGTTTGAAATATGGGTTTATACAGCCGTGAAAAAAATTGCACAAATTACTTGATTTGTGTATGCTTCAAAATTATATTAAGCACAGCTGTCACCCCAAAAGATATTTATACAGTATCTGTATTTTGTGTTTATATATTAAGTGGCAAAAAATATCATGGATGACACTTGAACTATATAGTAATTTAGCCAAATTTGTCTATTTATGCTAAAAATTTGATAATTTTGCTTATGAAATAACTTTGTTATTACTAACTTATAGTCAAATTGTGTCCTTAAGACTTGGCTAATATACACATATTTTGAAAGCCTTCCTCTTATGCTTAAAAATGTGATTAGTAATGGTATCATTCAATGTTTTGTGTGTAATGAATTTACATGCCTTTAAGCCCCATTATGTTTCTCCTCTATTTCCTTAATACTTTGTTACCCTTCTAGTTTTTTTCCTAATCAATGCCAGAGTTCTCGAAACGTGATGGTCCATAAGTCCTGACCACCAAAATTTTGCAAAGGACCGACACAATTTTGGTATTTTGCAATAGAAATAATAGTGAGGACCAGCAGATTTTCTTTAAGGACCATCAGAGAAAAAAAGTTTCCAGAACTCTGCATTCAATGCATCAAAACACGATAAGCGAAGCAACTATATGTATCACTACTTTTTAAAATCATACATCTTAAGTGAACTTCTGACAAAATAACTTTTTTATTCTACTTCTACACCAAGATTCATTACTTGTGTTCATTTCCTAAAAATAAAACGAAACACATCCGTTTCTGGCTAAAAAATATATAATAGTTTTTATCTGCTTTCTGAAGCACATATTCTGTTCCTTTATTTAATTTTATACATATGTAAGATCTATGATTTCGATTAAAATGGAAATGCAAAATAAAATACACTTTACATTTTCCAACTGAAGGTTTGTATTTTCTGAAATTTTGAAATATTTTATTTTTGAATGTTGCATTTAAATCTCATTTAATTTATTTTAGATATTGATGAATGTCAGAACAATAATGGTGGATGTGAACAGATCTGTACAGATAATGCTGGTGGATACAGTTGTACCTGCCCAACAGGATATAAACTGTCATCTGACTCTAAATCATGTGACTGTAAGTATATCATATGATCCATTTAACAGATACATGCTGACATGTAATTCTAAATCGTGTAACTAAGTATATCATATGATCCATCTAACAGATGTGATTCTAAATCGTGTCACTTAGTAAATCATATGATCCATCTAACGGATACATGCTGACATGTGATTCTAAATCATGTCACTTAGTGTATCATATGATCCATCTAACAGATACATGCTGACATGTGATTCTAAATCATGTGACTAAGTATATCATATGATCCATCTAACGGATACATGCTGACATGTGATTCTAAATCGTGTCACTTAGTATATCATATGATTCATCTAACAGATGTGATTCTAAATGGTGTCACTTAGTATATCATATGATCCATCTAACGGATACATGCTGACATGTGATTCTAAATCGTGTCACTTAGTATATCATATGATCCATCTAACAGATACATGCTGACATGTGATTCTAAATTGTGTCACTTAGTATATCATATGATCCATCTAACAGATACATGCTGACATGTGGTTCTAAATCATGTGACTGTAAGTATATTATATGATCCATCTAACAGATACATGCTGACGTGATTCTAAATCGTGTAACTAATTATATCGTATGATGCATCAAACAGGATATATGCTGTCATGTGATTATAAATCGTGTGGGTCCTGGGCTTGATCCCTGAGTGGGTCAAACCAAAGACTTTAAAATTGGTATTCGCCACTTTTCTAAGAAGCGGTATAAAGGCGTTGGAGCAAAGACTGGTTGGCTCAGAGACAGGGTACACATTGTCATGTGATTCTGTATGACTTATCTTGGCTCTTACAAATGGCATGATATCATTTGATTCTATTTCATGTGACCTACAATTGAGAATATAGACTATTCTCTGATTAGTTCTGCTGTGACAAAGTGTATCATGTGATCTGTTGTATGCTTTCATATGATAATGTATCATGTATCTGTCATACGAATAAAAAGTGATTTAAAACAGCCACTCAAAGACACATGGTCCGGGTACACAGTTATCGTCCTTTGATTTTCGTTGTCCACGAATATAGTCCCTAGTGTGGACAGTGTGTTACTTGTCAATTTTTTTGCTCACCTGGCCCGAAGGGCCAAGTGAGCTTTTCTCATCACTTGGCGTCCGTCGTCCGTCGTCGGCGTTAACTTTTTACATTTTGAACTTCTCCTAGAGAACCACTGAATGGAATGAAACCAAACATGGCATGAATGTTCCTTATGAGGTGCTGACCAAGTGTTGTTACTTTGTAGCCGATCCATCATCCAAGATGGCCGCCAGCGGGGGACTTAGTTTATAATAGGACCCTATGGGAAATGCATACAAATGACTTCTTTTAGAGAACCACTGAATGGAATGAAACCAAACATGGCATGAATGTTCCTTATGAGGTGCTCACCAAGTGTTGTTACTTTGTAGCCGATCCATCATCCAAGATGGCCGCCAGCGGGGGACTTAGTTTAACATAGGACCTATGGGAAATGCATACAAATGACTTCTTTTAGAGAACCACTGAATGGAATAAAACCAAACATGGCATGAATGTTCCTTATGAGGTGCTGACCATGTGTTGTTACTTTGTAGCCGATCCATCATCCAAGATGGCCACCATCGGGGAACTTAGTTTAACATAGGACCCTTTGGGAAATACATACAAATGTCTTCTTTTAGAGAACCACTGAATGGAATGAAACCAAACATGGCATGAATGTTCCTTATGAGGTGCTGACCAAGTGTTGTTACTTTGTAGCCGATCCATCATCCAAGATGGCCGCCAGCGGGGGACTTAGTTTAACATAGGACCCTATGGGAAATACATAAAAATGTCTTCTTTCAGAGAACCACTGAATGGAATGGAACCAAACATGGCATGAATGTTCTTTATGAGATGCTGACCAAGTGTTGTTACTTTGCAGTCGGTCCATCATCCAAGATGGCCGCCAGCGGGGGACTTAGTTTAACATAGGACCCAATGGGAAATACATACAAATGTCTTCTTTTAGAGAACCACTGAATGGAATGAAACCAAACATGGCATGAATGTTCCTTATGAGGTTCTGACCAAGAGTTGTTCCTTTGTAGCCGATCCATCATCCAAGATGGCCGCCAGCGGGGGACTTAGTTTAGCATAGGACCCTATGGGAAATACATACAAATGTCTTCTTTTAGAGAACCACTGAATGGAATGAAACCAAACATGGCATGAATGTTCCTTATGAGGTGCTGACCAAGTGTTGTTACTTTGCAGTCGGTCCATCATCCAAGATGGCCGACAGCAGGGGACTTAGTTTAACAAAGGACCTATGGGAAATACATACAAATGTCTTCTTTTAGAGAACCACTGAATGGAATGAAACCAAACATGGCATGAATCTTCCTTATGAGATGCTGACCAAGTGTTGTTACTTTGTAGCCGATCCATCATCCAAGATGGCGCCCAGCGGGGGACTTAGTTTTACATAGGACCCTTTGGGAAATACATAAAAATGTCTTCTTTTAGAGAACCAAAAATGGAATGGAACCAAACATGGCATGAATGTTCCTTATGAGATGTTGACCAAGTGTTGTTACTTTGAAGCCGATCCATCATCCAAGATGGCCGACAGCGGGGGACTTAGTTTAACATAGGACCCTATGGGAAATGCATACAAATGACTTCTTTTAGAGAACCACTGAATGGAATTGAACCAAACATGGCATGAATGTTCCTTATGAGTTGCTGACCAAGAGTTGTTACTTTGCAGTCGATCCATCATCCAAGATGGCCGCTAGGGGGGGGGGGGGGGGGGGGGGCTTAGTTTAACATAGGACCCTATGGGAAATACATACAAATGTCTTCTTTTAGAGTACCACTGAATGGAATGAAACCAAACATGGCATGAATGTTCCTTATGAAGTGCTGACCAAGTGTTGCTACTTTGTTGCCAATTTACTGTTCAAGATGGCCACCAGGATATTTTATTAAATAACGGGACCAATATTAATCAAAATTTGGCCTCAATCATTATTTGGGTATCTGTTATGATTTTTATCTATCTTTACATGATTTCTAAAACCAAAGTAGAGTCAGGTGAGCGACACAGGCTCTTGAGAGCCTCTAGTTTTATACCCCTTCCAAATTTATTTCTCCATGTTTTATGACTCAAATAGCAAGTAGGGGGGTGAAATGACACTGTAAAAAAATTTGGGTCATGAATTTTAAAGTAAAGTAGTGATTTGGTCCAGCTGAAAAATGTTAAAAATTAGCACTTTGGAAGCTGTCAAAAGATTTGAAGACCCCTTAACATAAAATTATCCATATTTTGAGTTAGAGCCGATGAAGTTTTCTATAATTTTGATATAATTTGTCCCAAAAGTAGTACAACACACTGTAAAAATATTATTGAGAAAGCACAGGTGGGATTTTTTTAATTTTCATTTCTTGTCTAAAAGAAATGCACTACGAAATAACTGTGTACTCGGACCTAAGAGGTGAAATCAGGAAATATAGAATCTGTACTTTGGCAACTTCCCTGAATTATTTGAAGGTGTCAATTTATCAAATAGCATAAAACTAAAGGATTTAAACTTTTATTTGATAGAATTTCTGCAAAAATGACCAATTTGGGCATTTTATGGTCAAAATAAGCATTTCATAGCTTTTTCAATTTTGATGCATAAGTGGCATTCTGACTTTCTATCTGACAGGTTTTTATGTGTCAATATTTGTGTTTCTATGCTTCAATCCAGTTATATTACGGTACTCATTTGTGAACTCTCAATCTACAGAAAAGAAGATTATCTCAGACAATATGTGCAAAATGTGTTGTATATATGATCCTCGTCTATAAACGCCCTGTTTGGATCAAGTTAAATGTGAGGAGCTTGGAACATAAAAGTTGAAGTCCATAATAAAGACCTCACTAATTTTGTATAAAAAGCACTTAACAATGTCTTTTGTACCTGTTTTATGTCACATAATATCTTTCTTTTCTTCTGTAGGATAGCAAGTGGTTCAAATATAAGCCTGTTGAGACTAAAATTGCATGCATGTTTTTCACTAAAAAGTGAAAAATCTTTGTATCAGACCATACTGTCTACAAAAAAAGTTGAATGCAAGAGTCTTTTTGTACTCAGATTAAATTATTTTCAGTTTTACTTGGCCTAAGACCCTTTTAAACTAATATGATATGTTATTTGTAAGTTTTCTTTCCATTTAAAGTACATTAAATACATATGTAAGGATTATTTATAACCAAAAAGCTTTACAAATTTAAAATTGCTGGAAAATATTACATCTTCATGTAAGGCCCCCCTTCATTGAAAAACCTCCATTTTTAGGCACAGGATCATATAAATTTGACTTTTTAATAATTATGATAAGTCTGATAAATCAAATGAGTACTCTTTTGCTTTAAATACATAATATATTATATATTAAGGCATTTCAAAATTATTTTTTTGCAATATTTTAATTTTTTAAGCCCCAAATGTTGATAGTTGAAATTTTTCAATTGTAACGTCTAAATTTAAAATGCAAAGTTGAATATAGAATTAGTCATATTGTCTATAATATATATCCTATTGCCATGAAACTTTGTAAGCAGTCTTATAATTTAATAAGCTTTGGTCATACCAAGTTTCATTAAGATTGGTCATCTTTTTCTACCCTATTAGGTCCGGGTACACAGTTATCGTCCTTTGATTTTCGTTGTCCACGAATATAGTCCCTAGTGTGGACAGTGTGTTACTTGTCAATTTTTTTTATACCTCTTCCAAATTTATTTCTCCATGTTTTATGACTCAAATAGCAAGTAGGGGGGTGAAATGACACTGTAAAAAAATTTGGGTCATGAATTTTAAAGTAAAGTAGTGATTTGGTCCAGCTGAAAAATGTTAAAAATTAGCACTTTGGAAGCTGTCAAAAGATTTGAAGACCCCCTTAACATAAAATTGTCCATATTTTGAGTTAGAGCCGATGAAGTTTTCTATAATTTTGATATAATTTGTCCCAAAAGTAGTACAACACACTGTAAAAATATTATTGAGAAAGCACAGGTGGGATTTTTTTAATTTTCATTTCTTGTCTAAAAGAAATACACTACGAAATAACTGTGTACTCGGACCACATATAGACATCTATAGGGCAACATATAGTCTTTGACAATAGACAGGGGTGTTTACAATATTTCAGCTCTAAATTGTCTAAAAAAGGATGTTAATTATTTAAATAAAAAATACAGTTAACTCTCGTTGTCTCGATCTCGGTTGACTCGAAATTTCGGATGAGTCGAAGTTTTCTCGTGGTCCCGAACTTTGTTCCATATAAATATATGTATTTCAACTCCTGATGAATCGAAATTGGATGAGTCGAAATTTCGGTTGAGTCGTACTAAATTTACAGTCCCAAGGTTAACAAAAGCATTCAAAATTCATTATTTATCTCGAACTAATACACATATGTCAAAACATGACCTCCGGGATTTAAATGGATTGAAGAGTTAATCTGACAATACACGTGTAATTACATTTCTGGTCACTGACCACTGTATTGATTTATGACATTCTATTTCCACGAGTGTTTACCTAAGATTATCTTTTATCACCATGATAAACAATTAGTGATACATTGTTAAAGTTTATGAAAAAATATTTAAAATGTTTACAAAAAAAATTAATTAAATTAATCGTGATTTACACTGATGAGCTTGGATGTGTATAAAGTGGGATGAAGACTTCCGTCGGTGATCACATTAAATTACTCAATTGGCGTCTTTTATCTTTTTGTATTTTTTTTTCTTTAAAAGAAAGATTGAGATTGAAGAAAATTAAAATAAATCTAAATTTCTAAAATCTCTTGTATCCGAGAATATAATTAAATGACTTAAATAACGCTAAGATCGAATGGAAATTACTCACATAAAAGCCACAGGGAAAAATTGTAACTGTTCAAAGAAATAAATAAGTGAAAACAATGTTATTATAATCATGAAAGACCATAACATACAAATCCATCGATACGAAACCAGAATATCGATCCCTTTCCCATATTAATACGGATTTATTTTAGCTTTACCAAGCTAAGCAAGAGTTGTGTCCCTTGGTCTGTCAAACTTCCGGTTTTTGTCTGAGTCGAACTACGGGTATCTCGAAATATTTCTCTGGTCCGGCTGACAACGAGATAATGAGAGTCGACTGTATCTGCCATTTAAACAAGTACTCCAAATGACATAAAACATTAAGAAAGGACAAGAGTCAACCATTGACAATACTCCTGACAGGCAAATGAAAGTGGGGTAGTTTAACTAGTTTTTTTAGTTCTCATCTGTCTGCCTTTTTATCTTGATCAGTGGACTAAGAAAAGGTACATTAATGAGCATACAATTAATATCAGTACAGGAAAAACGTTCATCTCTATAATAAGGGTACAGTAGAACATAAGCACCAGCAAATATCAAAGAATACTCCATATTTCTGAAGTAAGTTTATCATGTCATCTGACAGATAGGATAGAACCTTTCCTTTCCTCTCCAATTCAAAATCATGTTAAGCAATTTTCAATGGAAATTATGCAAACCAATCCTTTATATTCAGATCATTATGATGATGTTCTAAGCTTTTATAAGAAATAGAAGAAAGCATCCCATAAAATTACCATTTGGAAACCATGAGGCTTTTACTGAACAATATAATCAATTCCTTATGTCTCTGCTGACACAAATATGTTTTTTTTATTTGGTGAATTTGTTTCTTTTGCTTTAAACAATGTAAAGTAGTCAAGACCCTGTTACTCAGTGGTTGTAAATCATATTTGTTTTTCGTTCATTATTTTGTACATAAATCAGGCCGTTAGTTTTCTAGTTTGAATTGTTTTACATTTGTCATTTTGGGGCCTTTTATAGCTGACTATGCGGTATGGGCTTAGCTCATTGTTGAAGGCCGTACAGTGACCTATAGTTGTTAATTTCTGTGTCATTTGGTCTTGTGGAGAGTTGTCTCATTGGCAATCATACCACATCTTATTTTTATATTAAAATCCTAAATGTTTTGAAATTTGTTTGCATTGTAAATAAAAAAAAAAATTTTAATTTGACTTTTGATTTGCAGCATGTAATGAAACTAATACATGGGGACAAAACTGTGCCAATGTATGTAACTGTGGAATAGGAGCAGAATTCTGTGACAGACTGACTGGCTGTGTGTGTAAGAGAGGGTACAGTGGTATCTACTGCACCAAGAATATTAATGAATGTCTGTCGTCACCATGTCCAAACAATCAGACCTGTGTAGATACTGTTGGATCATACAAATGTACATGTCCCACTGGTTATCATATACAGAATGATGTCTGTGTGGGTGAGTAATCATCTGGCTGCATTTGGGTTAATACAAAATGTAAAAAAAACACATCGTGCAGAATTCTTGGATCAGTACAGATTATTTCTTTTGAACAAAGATTTATTATTAAGTTCAGTGTATGTTGAAAGGATAGAAAAAATAAAAGTATATTCATACATGTCATTTAGAAGTGTAAAGCATTTGCTTACATGATGAATATGAAAAAAGCTGTTCATATAGCTCATTTTCCAATGTCTTGTGAGACTTTTTAGACTCTCACATACAATGTATTATCCACTCCATATCCCCCTTTTCAAAACTTTAAAGCTTTTCACAGAATTTGATTTTAGTTAGGTAGAAAAATAACACAGAAAACCTGAAATGATAAAAAGACTATTTTACAAACATAAGATAAAGCTGGTGCATTGAAAATCTTATATAAATATTTTTCAGATGAAAACGAGTGTGTCTTACAAACAGATTCTTGTAATCAGAGGTGTATCAACAAAGCAGGAGGATATATATGTTCTTGTGAGGATGGTTTTGTGTTAACAGAGAACACAACATGTCAAAGTAAGAGTGATATAATGTTGATCCAAATACTTTGTTGTGGACCAGTTTAATAACAAAAAAGAGGGGGAAAAGAAAACAAATTGAACAATGTGGTCTTATAATTTTCTTTCTAATAAACCAGGAACTATCATTACCCTTGAATAACTAACAGAAAACAACACAAGACCAGAATAACAACAACTAAAACTACAAAGAATTGTACAGTAGTAGGATAATAATTGGTACAGAGTATCATGCTTGCATTACACAAATAGCTACTTACCTTAAGACTGGTCTTCAACCTGTAATAACAAATTTTACAAATAATTACTTTTCATACATGTAAAGAGTACAATCTTTTGTGAAACAAGAGCCATTGATTGTCCTTTACAATGGTTGTTTTTGATGGCAAGAGTTGTCTTTGAATCTATTCAATTATCATTTCTACAACTTAGTAGACTTTTAGTCTCATATTATTATAGCACATATTGATCATCAAAATAAATTGCAAATATCTCTTTAATTTTTTTGATGTTTTAGCTGTGCCTTATTAGAATAGCATTATAGATACATGAAACACAGCTTGTCCTTATATACCCACCTTTAAGTTGTTGAAAACGTATTGTTATCAATAAAAATGTTATTGGGTTTAGAAAAAAAAAAGTAGGATAGGGATAAAAAAAAGTTTAATCTAACAGGTACAAAAAATTAATGAAATTAAACAAATGCTAGCATGAGATACCTTAAATCTCCATGTTTTTCACATTCATGCCACAAATTTTCAATTTTGCCTTAATATTTTGAAACCTCTTACTTAATTAGTGCAGGCTTTCTAAAGTAGTTCTTTACAAAATTTTGTCCTACACTATTATTCATCATATTTAAAAGAACATCTCACATCTGATTCTATATGTTATTTTGTTTTTTTTTAGGTGCTGTCTCACTGGCTCATGTCTCAAATCTCCTTTTATATATTTTCATTCATGTTTCTGGTTTTATTACAATTTTCATACACCTAAAATTAATTTCAACCAATGCAATTCAAGTATAAAAAAAAACTGATTTTTGCTCCTAAACAAGAACACAAACCTTGTTTTTATATGACCGCAAAAAAATTTTGCGATCGTATATTGGTATGACGTTGGCGTCGTCGTCTTTGTCGTCCGAAGACACATTGGTTTTTGCACTCTAACTTTAGTTTAAGTGAATGGATCTCTATGAAATTTTACCATATAATAATAATAATAATAATAATAAATTCTTTATTTAAAGAGGGTAAACACAGTTAGTTACAATTACTAATCTTCCCTGAGGCCCTCATATACAATACATGTAAAAAATAATAATAAAAGAAAAAAAGCAAACATACAACATATTAACACAATCGTATAGTCATGATAGTTCAATATACATGTACCATAATTAGAACATAAAAAACAGTTACAGATTGCATGTAGTGAATAGATATTATATACAAATCAAAATCATACATTCTAAAAAAAAAGAGTAATAGTTGCAATCATTTCAAGACTGAATATTGGGACTGTTTCAAGTATTGTTTTATAATTTGTTTAAAAGAAAAAGTGTTTTGCACTTTACGCATTTCATATAGTAGTCCGTTCCATAAAACTGATCCAGAATAAGCAAAAGATTTTTTAAACAGTTCAGTTTTTGGCTTAGGAACTATCAAATTACCTTGAGTGACACCCCTTAAAGCATAAGGATTATTAACAGATATAAGTTGAAACTTTTGAAGTAGGTACTGTGGTGCTTCTTTCCGCATACATTTATGTAGCAGTAAACCATAAGGTTTAATACCACAAAAGGAAGGTTGGGATTGATTTTGGGGGTTATTGTACCAACAGTTAAGGAAAAAGGGGCCAAAAATAAGCATTTTTGTAACTTCCAGACATAACTTGTGTGTGAGTCTATGGATCTCTCTGACATTGTACCACAAGGTTCCATATCACAAAAGGAATGCTGGGATTGATTTTGGGGGTAATTGCCTCAAAATTTTAGGAATTAGGGGGCAAAAAAGGGGCAAAAAACAAGCATTTTTATATGGACAAATACTTTAGTACAAAACATAATTTAAAGCAGTGTAAGGGAGATAAATCAAATACATCATTTGAATTACCTCCCTTACACTGCTTTTAAATTATGTATAAAGTAATGGTTAATGAACAATTAAGACAATTTAAAACAGTGTAAGGGATGTAATCCACATACAACGTTTTGATTACTTCCCTTACACTGCTTTTAAATTATGTTTAAAGAAATGCATATTTATAAAGGAAGACCAGTAAAAATATCTGCAAATGTTGCATCTTTTTTTTTTTTTCAAAAAAATCGATATGAAAGATTTGACACCATATTTTAAATTCTATTATGAAATAGATTAAGTTAGAACTATGGTAAATTTAAATGGGTAATTATGGTTGCAAATTCATTGGAAATTTGAATTGAGATTATGACCATATCTTGAGGGAAAGAATTTTTTGGGGGAAAAAAGGGGGGAGGGGAGAAATTGTGGGGGGTCAATTATTTCTCATTTCAGATTTCAGAAATTAAAAAGAATAATTCTTCAAATATTATTTTTTTTTCAAATTTCAAATATTGAAAAATTTCAAGAAGTAATCTTTAATTGCACAGTATGGCGCATTAGATTTGTAAAATCTTTGACCACATTTATTTATTTGTTATGCCGAATCTGACCATGTATTTAGATTTTTAATTTTGGGTCCAGTTTTCAAATTGGTCTACATTAAGGTCCAAAGGGTCCAAAATTAAACTTAGTTTGATTTTAACAAAAATTGAATATATGGGGTTCTTTGATATGCTGAATCTAAACATGTATTTAGATTTTTGATTTCGGGCCCAGTTTTCAAGTTGGTCCAAATTGGGGTCCTAAATTAAACTTTGTTTTATTTCATCAAAAATTGAATTATTGGGGTTCTTTGATATGCCAAATCTAACTGTGTATTTAGATTTTTAATTTTGGGTCCTGTTTTTTTAATTGGTCTACATTAAGGTCCAAAGGGTCCAAAATTAAACTTATTTTGATTTTAACAAAAATTGAATATATGGGTTTTTTTGATATGCTGAATCTAAACATGTATTTAGATTTTTGATTTCAGGCCCAGTTTTCAAGTTGGTCCAAACTGGGGTCCAAAATTAAACTTTGTTTGATTTAAACAAAAATTGAATATATGGGGTTCTTTGATATGCTGAATCTAACCATGTATTTAGATTTATAATGTGTGGGCCCTGCTATCAAATTGGTTCATATTGAGGTCAAAAGGGTCCAAAATTAAACTTTGTTTTATTTCATCAAAAATTGAATTATTGGGGTTCTTTGATCTGCCAAATCTAACCGTGTATTTAGATTTTTAATTTTGGGTCCAGTTTTCAAATTGGTCTACATTAAGGTCCAAAGGGTCCAAAATTAAACTTAGTTTGATTTTAACAAAAATTGAATATATGGGGTTCTTTGATATGCTGAATCTAAACATGTATTTAGATTTTTGATTTTGGGCCCAGTTTTCAAGTTGGTCCAAATTGGGGTCCAAAATTAAACTTTGTTTGATTTCAGCAAAAATTGAATATATGGGGTTCTTTGATATGCTGAATCTAACCATGTATTTAGATTTATAATGTGTGGGCCCTGCTATCAAATTGGTTCATATTGAGGTCAAAAGGGTCCAAAATTAAACTTTGTTTTATTTCATCAAAAATTGAATTATTGGGGTTCTTTGATCTGCCAAATCTAACCGTGTATTTAGATTTTTAATTTTGGGTCCAGTTTTCAAATTGGTCTACATTAAGGTCCAAAGGGTCCAAAATTAAACTTAGTTTGATTTTAACAAAAATTGAATTCTTGGGGTTCTTTGATATGCTGAATCTAAACATGTGTTTAGATTTTTGATTTCAGGCCCAGTTTTCAAGTTGGTCCAAGTTGGGGTCCAACAAAATTAAACTTTGTTTGATTTCAACAAAAATTGAATATATGGGGTTCTTTGATATGCTGAATCTAACCATGTATTTTGATTTTTGGGCCTAGTTATCAAATTGGTCCACATTGAGGTCAAAAGGGTCCAAAATTAAACTTTGTTTGATTTCATCAAAAATTGAATTCTTTGGATTCTTCGATATGCTGAATCTAACCATATAATTAGATTTTGGATATTGGACCATAATAGGTAAATTAAAAAAAAATAAGTTCTTAGACCACATTCATTCTGTGTCAGAAAACTATGCTGTGTCAAATATTTAATCACAATCCAAATTCAGAGCTGTATTAAGCTTGAATGTTGTGTCCATACTTGCCCAACTGTTCAGGGTTCGACCTCTGCGGTCGTATCAAGCTGCGCCCAGCGGAGCATTTTATTATTGTTGGTGATCACTTTGATATATTGTATGTGTTTTTTTTTAGAAGACTCCATTTATGAAAATGATGTTATTTTGATGTTCAACAGGAAACATCTAGCAAGCTGTACTGGCGTTGGAACATATTGATCTGACATATTACTCATGAAACTGTCCATAACATTTTAAATTAAGTATAAACTATTTACATTTTCATTTACTTTCAGATTTTGATGAGTGTACATTGTTGAACAATAACTGTGAACAGATATGTGTTGACACTATCGGGAGTTTCTACTGTTCATGTAGAGATGGTTTCGTATTGAACTCCGATCAAAGTAGCTGTGATAAAGGTAATTTATTCACATCCTGGATTTTGTTTTTCTTTCATAAAATATCTCCATACTGTCCATTCAGTTAATGCAACTGTGTTAAAAAAACATTATATAATTTAAAAATAAGAAGATATGATATGATTGCCATATTGCATTCTATAAGCAACTATAGGTCATAGTAAGGCCTTCAACAATGAGCAAAACATATACCCCTTTTTAGTAAGCTATAAAGGCATGACAAAGTGAAATACAATTCAAAGGAGAAAACCAACAGCATGATTAATGTACAAAACAATAAATACAAAAAAAAATATGAAAATGACAACCGCTGCTGTTTTTCTTTGTCAGCAAGAATTGTGGCAGCACAGTGTTAGATACTTGTAAAGAACTAACTCTCCCTTGATAGATGACCTATGGTATACATATTTTAGCTGTGCTACATGTATATAAAAATGCAATATTTTTTTGAGAATTTGTCTGGCATATGTCAGTTATTCTTGACCTTATAATCATGGTTCAGTGACTTAATAAAAGTAAATTAAGTTTAATGATTAGGTGATGTTATCATTTACTATTGAAGATAGAATGTCAGACTTTTTTCGGTCTAGTGAATCATATTGAAATATAATGTATGATACTGATTTTTGTCAAAAAGCACATGTTTTTGAAATGATTTTTCTCTTATAGTTGTGACCTGTTATCTATTTCTTGCATGAAAATATATTTCTTGTATCTCACTGAAAGAAGTGTGATGGGAATAAGTGGTATGAATGTGTCAATTTGATTGGCCTTTCCTGCAATATGCTACGAAATTGTGACATCTCCATGGGCTATTAGTTAGGTCAATGATGACTTTCAAATGTGAAAATATCCTTTTAATCAAATTTGATTCCAATGTAGCTTAATTTTAACTCTTAGGCTTGTTTATTGATATTGAAATTAAATAACTTGAAATTTCTCACTTGTTATGAAACCTATAATTATCATGTAAGCTTGAGACCTATATAGACTTTCAAATAATTGATAACACAGTCAAGATCATTATGATTTTATTTGTCATTTTTCTTAAAATGCATTTTTTCATTTATAATTTTTTTTTTACTGCATTGATAAATTAAACATTTGACAATTTGTATTAATAAATGCAGGCATTAATTTCTATATGCACAGTATTAAACTCTATAATTGTTTTTATTTCTTTCAGATTATGACCCATGTGCAAATAACAATATCAACTGTAGCTATGGATGTGTACTTGAAAATAATGCACCTGTCTGCTTTTGTCCACTAGGTTATGAACTCAGTACTGATGACAGTCAGACATGCTCAGGTAAATTGTTTTATTCCATGGTAATCAGACTTAGCTAATACTAACAATGACCACTGTCCTTTCCTCGATCTTGATATCTTATATCATTAACGGGAAGCTTAATACAAAAATTTATGATAAAAGAGATGATTTTTCATTTCCTATCGTTAATTATCCATTTTTAGATGGTGACGTTCCTTTGTCACCATCTTATGGTGTTTATATATCTCAACTTGTACGATTCGCTCATGTATGTAACAACGTATTAGATTTTAGCGAGAGAAATTAATGTATTACTGAAAAATTATTACACCAGGGTTTTTGATATCATAAACTAGTCAAAACATTTACTAAATTTTATCATCGGTATAAGGACATCATTCATAAATATAACTCAACATGCAGACATCTTATACGTTCGGGTATTTCACATCCAATCTTTTATGGTAATATTCTTTACAAAGCACAAAAATGTCAGTATTCACCTCAAAAGCTGACAAAACCTTTAAACAGACTTATTAAGAAGGGATATAGTTACGATACTGTTGTCAGGTCATTAAAGATTGCATATTTTGGCTTTAATATTGATTCACTTATAGGGTCTTTGCATCGGAATTAAACACATTTATTCTAAAACCAGTTGTTGGCATGACACGGGTTATGTTCTCATATATTTTATGACGGTATAATACTAAACCCCTAACAGAAGGGATTGTGCCTGATATTTATATGATGAAGACATAATCTTTCAATCAGTTTAATTGAGGTCTGGAGCTGGCATGTCAGTAACTGCTAGTAGTCTGTTGTTATTTATGTATTATTGTCATTTTGTTTATTTTCTTTTGTTTCCTATTCTGACATCGGACTCGGACTTCTCTTATACTGAGTTTTACTGTGCGTACTGTTGTGCGTTTGTTTTTTCTACATTGGCTAGAGGTATAGGGGGAGGGTTGAAATCTCAAAAAACATGTTTAACCCAGCCGCATTTTTGCACCTGTCCCAAGTCAGGAGCCTCTGGCCTTTGTTAGTCTTGTATCATTTTTAATTTTAGTTTCCTGTGTATAATTTGGAGTTTAGTATGGCGTCCATTATCACTGAACTAGTATACCTATTTGTTATGGGGCCAGCTGAAGGACGCCTCCGGGTGTGGGAGTTTCTCGCTGCATTGAAGACCCATTGGTGGCCTTCGGCTGTTGTCTGCTCTATGGTCGGGTTGTTGTCTCTCTGACACATTCCCCATTTCCATTCTCAATTTTATTAGATAGTGATAGAAACATTTGATATGCAGTATCACCTGATGTGCTCCTTTTATGCTACCTGGTATTGATATAAATGATGACAAGTCATCAAGTAAATTGTTTGCAAAGGCATTGACTCGTAAGATGTCTGTTGGAGCCTCTTAAACATTTCTAAAAAAAAAATCTTTCTGAAGTGTGTCCTGACAGGGAGGTAAAATTTCCATTTACAGAAAAAAAATCATCTTTACTCCCTTTTTCACCATGGTTTAAATGTAAGCAATTGGTTGTACTTTTTCCAAAATACAGAGTCCTTGGTGTGTTGTCTTAGTAAATAAATTTATTGATGATTGACTCATTTGATTATTTTTTGTAGAATTTCTTTAACATTAATCATTCATTTACAAAATGTAAGATATAATATATGGATAACAATGTGAAATATGTCACAAAGTAGATCTCAAACTGACCAAAAGTTTAAGATCCCACAGAAAATATTCAACTTGAATGTTTTCACAAGGGAGACTTCCTACTTCAGTGTTTTAAAAGTTAACTCCTTTGTGTTGGTGATTTAGTTTAAATAAGGATTAGGAAGGTAGCTGGAAGTAGTCAATGTCCAATATTTCTTCAAAAATAAGATTCAGGTAGGAAGGTCGTTCTTATCAGTTTAATGGACAAATACTGTGTACTTTGTTAAGATTTAGAGTTGTAAGTGAAGTGAACTTTTAAAAATTTATAGTGGTGAATCTGTTGATTGTACAGCTTTTCAAAATTAGTCTTAACTGATAACATTATTTTGAGCTCACTGCTTAGGTGCTTGAGACAGGTTTAGGTCCTTAGAATTTCTGCTTGGTTTGCAAGAAGTTCAGATCGCTTTTAGAAATGGGATGTTGGACAGTTGGACTGAAGAATTGATACCTATTTTGTGCAATAAGCTCCTACAGTTTTTAACCCAGATCCTTGAAACTTAATAGAAATATTGGATACATATTAAAGGTATGCACCTGCTGTTATTGAAATACTTGAGAAAGATTTTCCAATTATTCCAGACTTGAGAAAATAGTTTTTTTTTTTAAAGATAGGGCCTATTTTGTGTATTAAACACCTCCAGCAGTTTTCTACTTTGACCCCTGACAGTTTGATGAAAGATTGCACACATATTGAAGTTTTGCACCTTTTATTATGAGTGTTAGAGGATTTTTTCCATTGTGCTACACTTTGGAATTTAAATAATTTTCAATATATTTTTAGCTCACCTGGTCCAAAGAAGCAAGTGAAATTGTGCATCTATCATTATGGAAAAGTCCTGTTCTAAACTTTGGAACTTTGCTTCTCATTTTATACACTTTATATTTTCATATACATTTTTTGTATTAAATTGTCATAGATAGACAGTTCACTATTGTTCAAGAATTATTTTGTTCAACACAGCCATTTCAGTCTTTTATCCATTTAAAAGAAAGGCCAATTTTGTAACTATCGAGCAAACAATCACTTTTATTTTGCTGTGTGCACTATCTTTTCTGCTATAGTATAAAGTGTAAATTTTCAGGTGATACTTTTATACTTTATAGAAAACTCCATGGTTAACAAGTTACTTACAGTAGGATAAAAAGCTTTCTGTAAATGTGGAAATACACACCTATACTAACAAATGAAGCAAAAATTAATAACAAAATCAATTTTTTATTTCAGTTGTATACAGATCAGTACAGTTCACCATGACAACAGATTATCCATACTCAAGTAAAATGTCAGATCCCTCCACAGATGAATTCAAACATGCAAGAGTTGATATTACAGCAGGAGTATGTCAAATTCTGAAGATATTTATTCTCTCATTTTTTTTTTTGGAATAGACTATTCTGCCCTTAATGACATGTGTGTGTGTGGTCATTTAAGTGAAAGTCCAGTGAAGAGCTATCTTTGCAAATGAACATCTGAAACCAGATTTTTGCCTATGAACTGTTCCTTTAAAACATATATGGTTTACAAAGAAGGCACTGAGTAACCATGTATAGAGGCAATTTTAGAATTTCATTTACATTCTCAATGTGCAAAAAAAATTTGACATCCATCCATAGTTAAGGGAATAAAGCTTTTGTTTGTGCTGTAGGGAATTAGTATGTTAATCAAAGTTATGCATTTATGACTGAAATGAATAAGGAATTGAATGATGTATGATTTATCTACATAAAAAAATATTTATTACCATTTTGAGACAAAAACTTGCCAATCACAGACTATCCATTGTTAAGATTTTCCATCACCTTCTCTGCCTGTGTGAAACCCGCCTAAGATGTCAGGGGGAGGATACAGCAATTCAAGAGATACATAAGAATCAAAGTCAAATGCAAAAGACAGTGACATTTTTTTCAAAATCTACCCACAGAAAATAATTTCTATTTATGTGAAGGTATAAACAGATGTGTTCCTTTAATTTATTCATGAAAAAAACTGACTGCTGTAACAAATCTAAATGTTGTTTCTTTGGTCATCATGTACAAGATCCCAATGTATTACTTATAGTCTTCCAAATTAATGTATTACTGAAATAATTTAGACTTTTTCTCCTTTTTTTCCAGCTGGATGACAGCTACAGTAATATTCCTGGATTTTTATCATTAACTGTAGATAGATTCTTGTAAGTAATTTACTATAGACTAACCTTTTCCTAAGTAATTTACTATAGACTAACCTTTTCCTAAGTAATTTACTATAGACTAACCTTTTCCTAAGTAATTTACTATAGACTAACCTTTTCCTAAGTAATTTACTAAAGAATCTAAGGTACTTGTATGTAATTTACTATAGACTAACCTTTTCCTAAGTAATTTACTATAGACTAACCTTTTCCTAAGTAATTTACTAAAGAATCTAAGGTACTTGTATGTAATTTACTATAGAATCTAGAAGGTATTCTCATAGTGATATAGACTGTACACTCTAGAACATCATTGTTTAAAAATAAATATTCTTCATGATCAAATACTGTATATTCAGAAATAAATTCAGATGTAATATGATGTTTGAATTAACTAAATGAATATTTGAAGTATTGAGATACTTACTTACTTTTGCAAGTAATATTCTCCTCTAACATGTGAAGAATTGCATAAATTGATAATGCATTACAAGGCTTAACAAAAATGTGCATATAAAATTAAAAAAACTCACATGAGCATTTACAAGTGAGGTTTTTAACATGCATATTAGGTTAGTTTCATATGTACTGTTTTTGCTATTCTCAAAATGCTAACCGAATTTGCCTGTTAAAAACCTCATATGCCGCATGTAAGTTCCTAACATGAGAATCTTATGTGCAACTTTGTTAGCACCATATTTGGTTAAAAGTGTCATAACCAGACCTGTGCTTGAAACAAAACAATAGAAATATAAGAACAATTATATGCCCGCCCAACCAAATGTAAACCAAACCTAGATAATATACATGATATAAGGACAATATAAACAAAATTGGTCCATATTACTGCACAACAAATTTCTGATATGAAAACATTTTAGTTAGTTAAATTCTTTAAGTCAATAATATATGGAAGTTTCATCATGGACAAAATACAGTTGTTTACCTGAGGAGTAATTTAATGTCTAGCTATAGCATACTGTGGATCCATTTACAAGTATTTTCTCCGGAGACCAATTTCCGTGATTGAAGAAAAACATTTTTTTTGTGGATTTAACAAATTTTCATACAACCCTACAGAAAACTTATTTTATTAGATTTGTTGAACCCTTAAATTTGAAGTTAACCTTTATTAAAAAAATTAACACTGCAACTAATAAAGAATCCAGAGTTAATTCAACTTTTAAGATTACATCAACTTCATTAGTTAATTGGAAATTTCTATAGTTTGCCTTTAATATGTACAAAAGCTCATTGACTGTATCCAAGTTTGGACATTAAAACTTGTTGGGAGAATACTATGATCTCTGCAAATCAAAGAAACCAAGCAAGGATTCTTCTGACGAGTCCATAAGGAACTTATTATTGGGGGCTTATTTTTTGTCCTTAACAGTTGGTACTTGTTAACTTGTTCTCTTTAATGAAGCATACAAACTGCGAATGATTTGTATGCCAATCTATTGATCACAACAAACTTGATGTGTTTTGTTTGCAGGGAAAAAACTTAACGGTCGCCCAGTCGCCCATGGCGACCAGAAATTGACCTTGGCGATCTTTTTATTCAGTTGTGGTAGCCCAGGTGGCGAATTGAAAACAAAGTACTCGACAGACGGAAATCCGCTGTTTACCATGGCTCCAAGTGCCGGCTATACTTCACTGACAAAAATATAAATTCAAAAAGAAAAAAAAATCTTTTTAAAATGTATACAGGCAAGTGTAGAGAGTCGTATTGTCGCAAAGTCGCGGTCGTGATAAACAAGGATGTAAAATCAGTGTTTACCTTTGACTAAATATAGTTCACGTTAATTCAGGTCACTGATTGGTCGTCTATTTAAAGTCCGGAAAGTATCATATGTTTGCAAGGATAACAAGAGAGACGTTCCGATGGTCATTTACAATATGAAGCGAAATACCCTGTTCGGTTTTGGCTTCAAGAAAGCGAAGAAATTCAGAGAAGATGACAATAGCATGTTATGAAATAATATCAGTCAAATAAAAGAACGTATAATATATAATGTTGTTGAGAATCTGGAAAACAGTACCTTTTGTAGTTCCCTTTTCAAAGCCCACGTGGTGTCCAGAGAATGAAGGTCAAAAACGAAAGTAGAATATTGTCGACCACAAATAAATAACATTAGTTAAAAATGATTTTAGTTTCCTACTTACTGAACAGTTAACAAAAAAGAGAAAATCAGAGGAGATATCAATTTTATGACAATGCTTTTGAAATACGTGTACAAGTCTTTTGAGAAAAAAGGTGGGTCATTTGTTTACAAATGTACGTAGTTACACCAAATAAATCGATCAAGATAATTAATAAATTAGATTATTAAAGAAATAAAATTAATTTTTCATCGATCATCTACATGTATTTAAGGACAGAGAATTCTTAAGTTGTCTTAAAAAGATATTAAAAAAAAACTGGTACACAGGGCATGAAGATTCCCATTTTGTAAATAATTTTTTTTTATTAAATTTGATTGAAGTCAACAACAAAAATAAGACAAAATTTACATTTTCCCAAGCATCTAAATCACCTCCAGGTATGCTCAGAATGCAGGGTTTTGAGTCTAAAATTTCAAAATTTTCAAGGGGGGGCATGCCCCCAAACCCCCCTAGCAAGTTTATCCCGCTTCGCAGGCTTCACCAGTGATACTCATAGTGAAATAAAGTGGGCTACTAACTTTTTGTCTTGGCTAACTGATTTTCAAGTCTAGTAGCCCAGCTGGCTACTGGCCTTACAAAGTTAAGTTTCACCCCTGGTTTGTGATGTGCTTTATATTAAATTATTAAATTTACATATGCATGTGTTTAAATTCATTTGATGGAATTTAATCTTTTGTTTATAAAACTATAAAACTATAAAATTTATAATCAGTATAACCTGACTCAAAAAATTTTAAACTTGCAGATCTGGTAGTACAGTTGTTCAATATACAGTTGAATTAAATCGAAGTTTGAGCAACAGTTTAATAATTGAGATAGCCAATGTAACTAAAAATATAACACAGATAATTGTGCTAGAGAAGCCATACAGTGTAACTGGAGAAACTTTGGTCAACTACCAAACAACAAGTCTAGGTAAGCAGTTTCCAGGTACAAACAATATGGAGACATTTAAAACCTCTTCTTTGCATGCACGAATCTAATTTTATTAAAACAAAATCATTTTCTTTAATGTGAAAACTATGAAAATGATTTAAAATAGTTTTCATTGTCTTCTTAAACACCACTAATTAATATGAAAATGTTTTTAGTCAGATTTAATTGCAAATTGGAAATTCTGTTGTAGAAATAAAAGATAAATGTCTTAACAGCAAAAACTTAAAAGAAGATAGCACAAAATGCAGAGGCCATCTGTATTTAAAACTTTAAAAATAACATAATTTGGTTACTAACATTTGGATAATAACAGATGTTTTTATGATTAGCTTTTAATCTCTGGCATACAATAATAGGGGCAATGTACTGTCTGTTAGTCCCCTTTTTCCTTCATTGTTTTAAGGTTGTAAACCATAGTTATGGTCATATGAATTTGAAACTTTGTACACATATATAAAATAAGGAGATGTGGTATGAATGCCAATGAGACAACTATCGAACAAAGTTCAAATGAAGTTGATGTAAGCAATTATAGGCAACTGTAAGAAACAATTTACGAAAAACAAATATGACAGACATGAACCAATGATAACCACTGAACTACAGGCACATAAAGAATGTGATTGTTTTAAACATATATGCAAAATGAAAGTTTTACCCAGATTTCATGGTTCATAGAACATGGAAATGTGATGATTTGAAAAAGGCACGGCTTCCTATAGTTTCAGGTAATCTAAAAAAAATTTTAACTTAAAGTTTATTCTTAGAAGTTTAAGTTGTATCTGGTACACACGATATTTACCAAGAAATGTAGATATTTGTTATTCCCAGGTATTATTAAAATGTATTCATCACTGCAAAAATGTGTGAAACAGTGTATTAGGCCAACTAAAATTAATTAGTAGATTTTCATCCAGATTTGTGAAAAAAATGGGGCAGGTGGTAGGATTTTACTTTTTACTTTTTATTTCCTCCGAAACCCTTTTGTGACATGTTTTTCATATGCAAGGGCAATAATAAGATTATATCATGTACATATAAGGAATTCTACATAATTTTTCAAATTCTTAAATAAATATTTCTGATTGGAAACCACTGTTATACATGTAATTGCCGCTTTAGAAACTATTTTTAGTAAATAGCAAAAACGTGGAGAAATGATCTAATTTAGACTTCCTACATCAAATTTATTTTGCTTTCTAAGCTATGGTTTGTAGTGCCCATGAAATGAATCATACACATTGGTATGCAACACAAGTATTGTGAGTACAGAATGAAATTAAAAATTCAAACTGTGTTGAAAATACTAGGGTTGATGCTTCTAAGATTCTTATGCAAGGTGCAAATATAATTACAATGTAAAACAGGAACTTAACCAAAAAGAAAAAGTTGTCTTATGACTCTATTGAGGGGCTGGGGAAAGCTGTTTGTAAAAAAAAAACAGACAGTCTTGGGGTAAATCTAAGGGCTTGCTATAATACATTTTGTACATTGGCTGACTTTTTGTACTCATATATACAGTCATAAATCGCACAAGTTCGTGCTTGAGTCAATTTCTTTATTCCAGTCATGTTTTTTATACCAATGTGTTCACGATTCTTGCGCTTTGGATATCATTCACAGTCTAAATTTCCTGACACAAAGTCATTGTATAAATAAAAAAATCCACGGGTTTCTAATCACTGAAATTTGTGACATACCGCGATTTGCGTTCTTGGACACCGCCTATTACTCATAACCAGAATATGTCGACTTAATCATTTTGGTTAAATTACTCGAAGAAATACGAAAACCGAAATTGCTACAGGAAGTTTATGAATGAAACAACAAAATAATCGGCGGTTACCTGAAACGGTAATGAACAAAATCCGGAAATCGTAAATTTTTCAAAATAAAAAAAATCAGGGCGGTACGATTTCTGAGGGGCCGGTGGGGATGAAAATATATCAATTAATTTTAATTGGCCTTATGTAATTTGAAATGTATTTGTCATACTGCAAATTTTTAATACTCTTCATTTTAATGAAATTATGGTTATTTAGAATATGTGAAATTTGTTTTGATAGATATTCTTAAGAGATATCTGTTTCAAAATAAGAATCCTTAATATTTTCCTTGCTTGTTTAAGAATTACATTTATTTTGTTTCTGTATTTTTCAGAGCCATTAACCTGTACACTGTGTGGATCAAATCATACATGTGTTATACTAAGTATAAATACTTATGAATGCAGACCACCATTGTGTAAGGGATCATAGATTTATTCTTACGAGGAAGCTCCGAGCATGCTCGGAGGATGCTCAGAGCTTTTTCAGTAGGCTCTTCTCTGCAGTTTATGTGAAAATAATTATCATGATCCATTAAGATGTCAATCAAATCTACACCACTTCTATAATAAGGAAAGTAGAGCATTATAGAGGAAGCTCAATTAACACCTGTGTAAACATCTAATCTATTCAAATAAATTTTGCCTGAAATTTTACAAAACTATAGAATAGATTAGAAATTCTTCAACAGTACTGTGTAATGCTTGGAAAGAAATCTCAAGTCTCCACAAAAAGTGAAAGTCATTTAACAAAAAATATACAATTATTATATTTTTAAAATAATCATTTCTTTTTTTATAATAAAAAAAATTCTCAAATTTTATAATTAGATGATATGATTTAAATATAGTTTATGTTATATAATATGCTACATAAAAGTTATCAAGACACACACAACAGTCAGGGGGCGATACTAAACAAGTTATTTTTTTTAGTTACTTATATTAATAGGTATTTTTTGTTTTTTTAAATTATTTGATATAATCTCAATTGTTATTTTATATGTCAAAAGTGGACTAAATGTAGTTTTTAAGAATTTTTATATCATTTCATTAAGTAAAATTAAGTATTTATCCAACTTGAGATGAGTATAGAGAGATTACTTTAAAAATAATGACAAAAATATTACTTTTATAAATTATTTGATACATCTTCGAAAAATTAAGCATACTTACAATTATTTAAGGAACATATGTAATTGTTTTTGATAAAGATTTCAAATTATAAATAACTTCAAGTCTTAATTAAATCACAAAGTTCCATCCATTTATATTTGTTCATCTCTAAGATTTTAAAGGAAAATGTTATTTTAATAGCCCCAAGAGACCAATCTATGACCAAGAAGTGTGGCATCAGAAAGGCAATTAGTGTTTCAGGAGGATTTAAATAGTTTTATACTGCATGGGGAAAATAACCAGATGTGAAAATTTGGTAAAGCCTGTAAAACCTGTATGAATGGACACCTATAGAAATAATATTAACAGAAGTTACTTATTCATGATATATAAGTAATATTTGAAACAACCTTGTTTTCAATATAACTTGTATAGGTAATTTTGAAAATTACTAGTTTAAGTAATGCCCTTAACTAAACAATGGTTGTTTTTTTTTTATATAAAATATTTTTGCAATTTTAGGGGACATGGCTACTAAAGCTTGTAAACAGAGAAAAAAAAGGGGGATAGAATTTGGTTGGTTAATTCTGGTGATGTCTTCTTTCTTATATGCACTGAAAAATTGTTGTTTTATTACTATAGTACAGGACAAGAAAAAACTTTACTCATGTCAAGTATTTCTTTATTTAAAACATAGATAAATTCTGCACATATTTTTGGAAAAATACCAATTAAACAAAGACTGATAGGGGGAAACAATTTTATATTAGATTTTCATTCAAGTACAGGTCAGGATAAAACTTCACTTATATAATTATGCCAAGTATTTCTTTATTTAAAATAAAACCAAATCCGCACAATTATAAAAAAAAATGACAATTAAAGTGAGACGTACTAGAGGGAAAACAATGGTGGTATTACCTCCTCAACTTTTCTTAGAGTAGCCATAATTTTTTTTATAAAAAACTAACTTTGCTATTTTATAAAAAAAAAAAAAATATCATTGTTTTAATAGTTAGGGGCATTACTTAAACAAGTAATTTTCAAAATTACTTATACAAGTTATATTGAAAACAAGGTTGTTTCAAATATTACTTATATATCATGAATAAGTAACTTCTGTTAATATTATTTCTATAGGTGTCCATTCATACAGGTTTTACAGGCTTTACCAAATTTTCACATCTGGTTATTTTCCCCATGCAGTATAAAACTATTTAAATCCTCCTGAAACACTTATTGCCTTTCTGATGCCACACTTCTTGGTCATAGATTGGTCTCTTGGGGCTATTAGAATAACATTTTCCTTTAAAATCTTAGAGATGAACAAATATAAATGGATGGAACTTTGTGATTTAATTAAGACTTGAAGTTATTTATAATTTGAAATCTTTATCAAAAACAATTACATATGTTCCTTAAATAATTGTAAGTATGCTTAATTTTTCGAAGATGTATCAAATAATTTATAAAAGTAATATTTTTGTCATTATTTTTAAAGTAATCTCTCTATACTCATCTCAAGTTGGATAAATACTTAATTTTACTTAATGAAATGATGAAAAAATTCTTAAAAACTACATTTAGTCCACTTTTGACATTTAAAATAACTATTGAGTTTATATCAAATAATTTTAAAAAACAAAAAATACCTATTAATATATATTAAGTAACTAAAAAAAATAACTTGTTTAGTATCGCCCCCTGACTGTTGTTTGTGTCTTGATAACTTTTATGTAGCATATTATATAACATAAACTATATTTAAATCATATCATCTAATTATAAGATTTGAGAATTTTTTTTATTATAAAAAAAGAAATGATTAATAAATATAATAATTGTATATTTTTTGTTAAATGACTTTCACTTTTTTGTGGAGACTTGAGATTTCTTTCCAAGCATTACACAGTACTGTTGAGGAATTTCTTAATCTTTTCTATAATTTTAAATGTCATGCAAAATTTATTTGAATAGATCAGTTGTTTACACAGGTGTTAATTGAGCTTCCTCTATAATGCTCTACTTTCCTTATTATAGAAGTGGTGTAGATTTGATTGACATCTTAATGGATCATGATAATTATTTTCACATAAACTGCAGAGAAGAGCCTACTGAAAAAGCTCCGAGCATCCTCTGAGCATGCTCGGAGCTTCCTCGTAAGAATAAATCTATGATCCCTAAGTTATTATTGTATGAAAAAGTAATTTGTATTTCCATGTCATACCCATTGCAATCAGAGTTTAAGGATTGAAATTAACTTCAAAATTTGTCTGTAAATAAAACTTGTCAGATAAGCTTCTAACTCATCATTATTGGTATCCATGAAACTTCAGACATTAGGAGTAAACCATATATACCATTGGTAAACATTTACACTTTTATAAAGCAAAACAATTCAAAGAAATATCAAATGCAATTCTTTCACCTTTAAACTGCTTCAGTGGTCTCATAATTTGTTCAGTCGGGAATTGAGTTAGCTGCCTCAATATATTTACAAATTAGAGCAAAGACTTGTCTGCTCAGTGTTGTAGTAATGTGTGAGGGTAGGGTGACTATAAATAAGAAGATGTGGCATGAGTGCCAATGAGACAACTATCCATTCAAGTCACAATGTGTAAAAAGTAACAATTATAGGTCAAAGTACGGCCTTCAACATGGAGCCTTGGTTCACACCGAACAGCAAGCTATAAAGGGCCCCAAAATGACTAGTCTTTCTGTTGACATGTGTGAGCTAGCACATGTCAAATCTGACTCAGTTTGTTGGTTAGGTACAAACCATGTAATTGTCCTGACTTTGCATGTAATATTTCCAACTAGTAATTAATCTGTGCACTAGTAGCTAATCAGGCCATTCTGACCACCACTTTTTAGCTCACCTGGCCCAAAGGGCCAAGTGAGCTTTTCTCATCGCTTGGCGTCCGTCGTCCGTAAACTTTTACAAAAATCTTCTCCTCTGAAACTACTGGGCCAAATTTGACCAAACTTGGCCACAATCATCATTGGGGTATCTAGTTTAAAAAATGTGTCCGATGACCCCACCAACCAACCAAGATGGCCGCCATGGCTAAAAATAGAACATAGGGGTAAAATGTAGATTTTGGCTTATATCTCTGAAACCAAAGCATTTAGAGCAAATCTGACATAGGTAAAATTGTTTATCAGGTCAAGATCTATCTGCCATAAAATTTTCAGATGAATCTGACATTCCGTTGTTGTGTTACTGCCCCTGAATTGGTAATTTTAAGGAAATTTGCCGTTTTTATACGACCGCAATAAAATTTTGTCGTATATTGGTATGACTTTGGCGTCGTCGTCGTCGTCGTCCGAAGATACATTGGTTTTCGCACTCTAACTTTAGTTTAAGTGAATGGATCTCTATGAAATTTTACCATAAGGTTCAATACCACAAAAGGAAGGTGGGGATTGATTTTGGGGGTTATGGTACCAACAGTTAAGGAATTAGGGGCCAAAAAGGGGCCAAAAATAAGCATTTTTGTAACTTCCAGACATAACTTGTGTGTTAGTGTATGGATCTCTCTGACATTGTACCACAAGGTTCCATATCACAAAGGGAATGTTGGGATTGATTTTGGGGGTAATTGCCTCCAAATTTTAGGAATTAGGGGCCAAAAAGGGGCAAAAAACAAGCATTTTTCTAGTTTCATGACAATAACTTGTGTGTAAGTGTATGGATCTTTATGAAATTGTACTTCAAGGTTCCATATCACAAAGGGAAAGCTGGCATTGATTTTGGGGGTAATTGCCAACAACGTTTAGGAATAAGGGGCCAAAAAGGGGCCAAAAATAAGCATTTTTCTAGTTTCCAGACAATAACTTGTGTTCAAGTGTATGGATCTCTCTGAAATTGTACTGCAAGGTACTATACTACAAAGGGTAGGCTGGGATTGATTTTGGGGGTAATTCCCTAGAAATTTGAGGAATTAGGGGCCATAAAGGGGCAAAAAAAAACCAAGCATTTTTCTAGTTTCAGGACAATAACTTGTGTGTAAGTGTATGGATCTTTATGAAATTGTACTGCAAGGTTCCATATCACAAAGGGAAAGCTGGGTTTGAGTTTGGGGGTAAATGTTTATGAATTTAGGGCCATAAAGGGGCCAAAAAACAAGCATTTTTCTAGTTTCCAGACAATAACTTGTGTTCAAGTGTATGGATCTCTCTGAAATTGTACTCATACATATGAACCTCCCAACGGTTGTACAATAATCCCGTTTTCAGGGGTCTCCTCCCGACCTCCCGTTGAAGACAAAAAAATCCCGTGTATGAAATATTTCATGAATGAAAAATTTCAGCCCAACATATCTGGTGTAACTGACATTACCTGAAGTTATATTTTACCTGTAAATTAATTAACATGCATAATTATATGGCTTCACTTGTCACCTTGGGTGTCAAAAATACTGGTAATCAACGATTTTTACATCAGGCTGATTGTGTAATAAAACTTTGTATTTAAAATGAATGTTGGGTTACTTCCCTTGATTTATTCAGTTTTAAGTTATTTTCCTTTAAATAATGTAAATTTTTAAAAGAATATAAATAAAATATAAATTGAACAAATAATCATAAAAGGATGGTAATTAAATGATTTTAAATGTCTTAGGACAAATAAAAAAATAATAATTTGAAAATTATTTGAGGGGTCTATACTTCCTTTCAAGGCTTAAATTGAAATTTATCTAATAACTATGACCCATGATCATAGTTTGAATGTGTTACTTATCATGCATTAAAAATCTACTTGCATAATAAAGATTAAAAAAGTAAAATCTCCTTGCATATAGATAAGCAAATGTTCTGATTGCAATGAATAATGGTAAAAAAGATAAGAAATTTTAAAGAACATACTAATAAAGAAGAATGTTAGATTGAACAAGTTCAAAGTTTAAAAAGATAGAGAAAATTTATAAGTACAAGGGTACTATAAACATAATACATTCGGATGGAAAGTTGAAGAAAACACACTTTAACAGACAATTTCTACAGCAAACAGTTACATTTATGACAGAATTTATGTCGATTAAAAACCTTCTGATCTGAGTCCTAATCTCCTGACCAAAATTTCCCAAACTCCTGATCTGAGTTTCACAGTCCATCACATTTATGTGTACTGCAAGGTACCATACCACAAAGGGAAGGCTGGGATTGAGTTTGGGGGTGATGAATCATAAGGGGGTTCAAAAAATTTTGGGGGGGGGGGGGTTTCCTTTTTTTTCTTTAAAATTTTCCATTTTAAATTGGTTATTTCTGATTTATATATAAAAGCAAATAATAATGATATGGTTTGAATAGATAAATTAAAAAAATTTAAGTTCTTAGACCACATTCATTCTGTGTCAGAAACCTATGCTGTGTCAAATATTTAATTACAATCCAAATTCAGTGCTGTATCAAGCTTGAATGTTGTGTCCATACTTGCCCCAACTGTTCAGGGTTCGACCTCTGCGGTCGTATCAAGCTGCGCCCCAGCAGAGCATTTTATTGGTTATTATCTTGAATATTATTATAGATAAAGATAAACTGTAAACAGCAATAATGTTCAGCAAAGTAAGATCTACAAATAAGTCAACTTGACCAAAATGGTCAGTTGACCCCTTAAGGAGTTATTGCCCTTTATAGTCAATTTTTAACCATTTTTGTAAATATTCATCAAAAGGTGAGCGACACAGGCTCTTTAGAGCCTCTAGTTTAGAACTCTTCTAATACAACCAAACCATGCCACTGATCATAGAAAAGTTGTTCAAAATAATTATTTGAAATGATTTCACAAACAAAATAATGATGTGAAATGACTTCACAAACAAAATAATGATTTGAAATGACTTCACAAACAAAATTTTGATGTGAAATGACTTCACAAACAAAATAATGATGTGAAATGACTTCACAAACAAAATTATGACGTGAAATGACTTCACAAGCAAAATAATGACGTGAAAAGACTTCACAAACAAAATAATGACGTGAAATGACTTCACAAACAAAATAATGATGTGAAATGACTTCACAAACAAAATAATGATGTGAAATGACTTCATAAAAAAATTAAGGAAGTGAAATGACTTCACAAGCAAAATAATGATGTGAAATGACTTCACAAAAAAAATAATGATGTGAAATGATTTCACAAACAAAATAATGATGTGAAATGACTTCACAAACAAAATAATGATGTGAAATGAATTCACAAACAAAATACTGATGGAAAATGACTTCACAAACAAAATAATGACATGAAATGACTTCACAAACAAAACAATGACATGAAATGACTTCACAAACAAAATAAAGATGTGAAGAAGTGATACAGCCACTAAATACAAAAGAGAAAACACAAATAAGTAAAAACACAAAACAAGTAAAAAAAGGCTGCCCTATATTAAGACCTAAAAGGTCTTTGTCAGGGAATGTTTAAAAAAAAGAAATGAAACATCCAGATCATTTAAGGATATAGTGATAACTCGGAGTTCATGAAATCTTTCTTCCTGGTGCTCCTTAATGGAAATCTGCAGGTCCTCATTATTATTTCTATTGCAAAATACCAAAATTATGCCAGTCCTTTTGCAAATTTTGGTGGTCAGGCCATTCTGACAACCACTTTTTAGCTCACCTGACCCTTCGTTAGCTTTTTACAAAAATCTTCTCCTCTGAAACCACTGAGCCAAATTTAACCAAACTTGGCCACAATCATCATTAGGGTATCTAGTTTAAAAAATGTGTCCGATGACCTCGCCAACCAACCAAGATGGCCGCCATGGCTAAAAATAGAACATAGGGGTAAAATGTAGATTTTGGCTTATATCTCTGAAACCAAAGCATTTAGAGTAAATCTGACATAGGGTAAAACTGATTATCAGATCAAGATCTATCTGCCCTGAAATTTTCAGACAAATCTGACATCATATTGTTGGGTTGCTGCCCCTGAATTGGTAATTTTAAGGAAATTTTGCAGTTTTTGGTTATTATCTTGAATATTATTATAGATAGAGATAAACTGTAAACAGCAATAATGTTCAGCAAAGTAAGATCTACAAATAAGTTGGCATGACCAAAATTGTCAGTCGACCCCTTTAGGAGTTATTGCCCTTAATAGTCAATTTTTAACAATTTTTTGTAAATTTTTGTAATCTTTTACAAAAATCTTCTTCTCTGAAACTACTGAGACAAATTAATTTAACCATACTTGGCCATAATCATTATTAGGGTATCTAGTTTAAAAAATTTGTCCGATGACCCCGCCTTCCAACCATCATGGCCAACTTGGTTAAAAATAGAACATAGGGGTAAAATGCAGTTTTTGGTTTATATCTCTGAAACTAAAGCATTTAGAGCAAATCTGACAGGTGGCAAAAATGTTCATCAGATTTAGATTTATCTGCCCTGAAATTTTCAGACTAATCCGACAACCCGTTGTTGGGTTGCTGCCCCTGAGTTAGTAATTTTACAAAACTTTTGCAGTTTTTTGTTATTATCTTAGATATCATTATAATATCTAATATCTAATACTATTAATTATGATTTTAACCTTATTTTACATGATTTCCAAAGCATCAGTAAATACAGGTGAGCGACACAGGCTCTTGAGAGCCTCTAGTTTAGAACTCATCATCATCATAGAAAAGTTGTACTATTTACAGCTTATTTTTCTTGATCATATATTTGTGCATAGAAGACATATCTCATTTTATTCACCATCTGAAATATTATATATATAAATTTTGTAGCTGAAATAGAGAGTAGGTCATTATATATGGAGGTCACACTACAGAAAACTTTCAACTCAAATTATGGAAATAAACTGCATTTAGATTATGCTGCATACGAAGAAGATGTAGAACAAGCAGTAAGTAGTTTTACCATGTTGTAACCAATCAGATATATCTAAGCAGTTCTCACCTTGAAAAAGGGAGAGAAAAAACCAAATTTGATTTCAGTCATTCCTCACCTGGAAATATTGTAGGAATTCAAAAAATTCTGAAATCCTGCATTTCTAATGCTTTAAGAAACCTGTTTATAAAATTTAAGGTTAATAACCTTTGGCAATTCTTTGTAGGATTAGGAAATTCTTGTATACTTTTTGAAACATTAGTAAAAGGAAAGCTTTTTGGCCTATGATTAAAGCATCAAGTTACTGTGCATGACTTAAAACTTTTTCAAATGTTTGTAAGTAAGGCTACCGGTATTTGTTTTTAACTGTTCCAAACCTTAAATTAATGTGTTATATACAGTCAATCAAAAGTACATGGTTACTTCTTCTCTGTCATCTGATATCTTCCTTTAGTACAAACTCTTTTGTGGTCAATTTAAACATGCCCAGGTAATTTATTTGTAAGGAAAATCTTGCATTTTCCCTCAAAAGTTTTTAATTAACTTTTTATTGCAATTTTTAATTTGATTTTTCATATATCTTCAGTTTGCAGCAGTGATGATTGGTGTAGAAGATATCCAGTACTTAAATGTAACAGATTTTAGGTAATGTACATATAAATATCATTTGACCTAAAAAAAATTAAGGACTGTTTTTAATAAATTATTGAAAACACTTTAAAAGATCCTTATTAAAAGTAGTAATTTTGTAATGATCATGGATTTTTATTTTTGTTTGGTTTGACTTTGGTAAATGTAAACTGTAAGTTAATATTTTGCAAATAAGCCTGTTAATTTTTAACGGTAATAATGTCCGGTAAAAGTCCGGCTGGGCAAAGCATGAAACGGTCATCTACTTTTCAGTTTTCAAGGCTTTCTTAAGAGATGGTCATTTTAACATAATTCACGATCTTTTTGACCCAACCTTTTGCCTTTAACAGCCACACATTTCCGGTCATAAAAGTGACATGATCATTAAGTACTATCAAAACAACCCCTACCTTAATACCTTCTCATTTTAATCAAGGCTAATTAGTTGTCGAACAGCTGAAATTTACCTGTTCAAGGTGACAGGTTAACTATTTTGAACTGGACATTAATCGGTCTATTCAAAGTTATTTTCTTACATTTCAGCGGTTTGCATCTAATTAATTTAGTCAAAAAGATTTAAATTTTCAGAAATACGTTTACAAATATGATTTGTTGAAAAAATTAAAAAGGTGAAAATGAAAAAATCGTCATAACCACGTTGTTTAAACCAGAGACATATCTCTGTTTGAACTAGCACATATGTGTGCAGGTGTGAAATTTAATTATGCATCCTAATTTCTTCAAAAAATGGTTAAATTGTCATTGATACCTTTATCTCACGTTTATTTCGAATATTTTCTTGAAGAAATAACGTAGAAAGAGCTACTTACACTCATTCATGCTTTGCAAACTTACACGGAATTTACGTATCTGTCTCTGGTCCATGTTTTACCATTGTCAAGATAACATCTGGTATTAGATTTAAAAACGAAAGTAAAGTTTTTGACAACGTTATTTTGCACAAATAAAGAGTCTAAGGCAGATATGAGTACGCTGATGTTGCACACTTCGAATGATGCACTGCCAATTTAACAGTTTACGTCAGAACTTCAAATTTGAATCAAAGAAAGTTTAATATCGTTTTTATACGCCCGTTTACGGGACGTATTATGGTTTTTTAATGTCAATCATTGGGATGGCCAACTCGGCAACTGATTACCATAATTGCCTTTTGTTTATTTAGTCTTAAGGGATTAAAATCGGGATAATATATAAAATGTCCAGCTGGCTAAAATAATTTTGGAAGCCCTGCTATGCATCTTTACAATCGAATTTGAGATATCTGCTGAATATCTAGTGAATGGTTCAACATCAACACTTTTATCACTAGGTTATGATAATGACAATGAAATATTAGTACAAACATAGGTTGCATCTTATTTTGACACTCTGTTTTGTGGTTTAAATATTATGGACCTTTATAATGCAGCAAAAAGACATATTACACCCCACTATTTTTGCAATCACCTTTTCTGTCTATTCATTTGTCCAACAAATATTTTCATCTAACTTTTCTCGAGTATTACTGGACAGAATATCTTCATGTTTGTTGAAAAGCTTGACAATGACAAGTTGTAATGTGTAAGCTCTTTTCAAATCTATCAGTCACCTACTTCCTTTTTTATGCCCCTGCTGTAGGTGAAGGGGGCATTAAGTGTTACCCTTGACCTTCCGTCTGTCTTTCCGTCCATCCCATTTTCGTTTCCGCACTCTGATTTAAGTTTGCCTCATGCAAATTTTATGAAACTCATACACAATGCTACGAACCAAAACTCATAGACAGAATTCGAATTTGGTCAGCCAGTTATTTACCTTTCTAGAATTATGCCTCTTTATAACTTGGAAAATTTCAAAAAAATGTTTTCGTTTCCACACTCTTTCTTAAGTTTTCCTCATGCTAATTTTATGAAACTTGTACACAATGATCAGAACCACAATACGCAGACAGAGTTTCGAATTGGGGCTGGGAGACATTTACCGTTCTAGAGTTAAACCCCTTTTTAACTTGGAAAATTGCAGATTTTTCAGTTTCCTAACTCTAACAAGTTTTTCACGTCCCAATTTTAGGAACCTCATACACAATGCTTAGAACTACAACACACAGACAGAGTTCGAATTCGGACACTGAGTCTTTTACTGTTCTAAGAGTAATGCCCCTTTTTAATTTGGAAAATTGCTATGCTTGAGCGGGGACATTCGTGTCCTCAGACACATTCTTCTTTTATCTGATAATGTGAATTACTTCTTTCTCAGCCCAATAACTTGTAGTATTCTTCATTTAAGTTACTTAAATCATATTTCAATTCCTTTTCTTGAAACACTAAACACGGGTCCAAGTTTTCAAATCTGTCAGTCACCTACTTCCTTTTTTGGCCAGGTTAGACAAAGTCCAAAACCAGCTAATAGTAAGGTGATGTTGAGCAGGTTGGCAGGTGGGTACCTAGTTAGTTTAATCAACTCCTACAGTTTTCAACCCATATCCATAAACTACATACGTTGAAGTTGTGCACCGCTATTATGGAAATGTTTTAGTAAATTTTTCTTATTTTTCCAGACTTAGGACCTAAGTCATTATTCAGCAAAATTTATGAAAGAGGCTACATCTCCAGTGTTTAAGAAACATTTTGCGCAACCCTGCCATTTGAGTCGTTGATCTATTTTTCTGATAAATTGGATTACTTCTTTCTCAGCCCAATAACTTTTAGTATTCTTCATTAAAATTAATAAAATATTATTTCAATTTTTTATACAACCGCAAAAAAATTTGTGTGGTCGTATATTGGTATGACGTTGGCGTCGTCGTCGTATTCGTCGTCCGAAGACACATTGGTTTTTGCACTCTAACTTTAGTTTAAGTAAATGGATCTCTATGAAATTTTACCACAAGGTTCAATACCACAAAAGGAAGGTTGGGATTGATTTTGGGGGTTATGGTATCAACAGTAAAGGAATTAGGGGCCAAAAATAAGCATTTTTGTAACTTCCAGACATAACTTGTGTGTTAGTGTATGGATCTCTCTAACATTGTACCACAAGGTTCCATATCACAAAAGGAATGCTGGGATTGATTTTGGGGGTAATTGCTTCAAAATTTTAGGAATTAGGGGCCAAAAAAGGGGCAAAAAACAAGCATTTTTCTAGTTTCATGACAATAACTTGTGTGTAAGTGTATGGATCTTTCTGAAATTGTACTACAAGGTTCCATATCACAAAGGGAAAGCTGGAATTGAGTTTGGGAGTAATTGCCGAAACGTTTAGGAATTGGGGGCCAAAAAGGGGCCAAAAATAAGAATTTTTCTAGTTTCCAGAAAATAACTTGTGTTCAAGTGTATGGATCTCTCTGAAATTGTACTGCAAGGTACCATACCACAAAGGGAAGGCTGGGATTGATGATGGGGGTAATTGCCTCAATATTTTAGGAATTAGGGGCCTAAAAGGGGCAAAAAACAAGCATTTTTCTAGTTTCAGGACAAAAACTTGTGTGTAAGTGTATGGATCTTTCTGAAATTGTACTACAAGGTTCCATATCACAAAGGGAAAGCTGGGTTTGAGTTTGGGGGTAATTGCATTAAACGTTTAGGAATTTGGGGCCAAAAAGGGGCCAAAAAACACATTTTTCTAGTTTCCAGACAATAACTTGTGTTCAAGTGTATGGATCTCTCTGAAATTGTACTGCAAGGTACCATACCACAAAGGGAAGGCTGGGATTGAGTTTGGGGGTGATGAATCATAAGGGGGTTCAAAAAATTGGGGGGGGATTTTTTTTTTTTCCTTTTTTTTCTTTTTTTCCTATTTTTTCTTTTAAAATTTTCCATTATAAATTGGTTATTTCTGATTTATATTTAAAAGCAAATAATAATGATATGGTAGGAGATACACACCAAACAGGATGTGTAAATTATTATATAATAAGTATTGTGCAATAGCAAGAAATTTTCAATTGCACAGTATTGCACAATAGCAAGAAATCTTCAATTGCACAGTATTGCGCAATAGCAAGAAATCTTCAATTGCACAGTATTGCGCAATAGCAAGAAATATCCAATAGCACAATATTGCGCAATAGCAAGAAATTGTCAATTGTATAGTATTGCGCAATAGCAAGAAATATTTAATTGCACAGTATTGTGCAAATGAAGATACTTCGTATAAATTACTTATTTCTTGACCAATTTCAATGGGGTTTTATTCTTGAATTCTTGGGGTTCTTTAATATGCTGAATCTAACCGTGTATTTAGTTTTTGGATTTTGGGCCAAGTTTTTAAATTGGTCCACATTGAGGTCCAAAGGGTCCAAAATTAAACTTTGTTTGATTTCATCAAAAATTGAATTATTGGGGTTCTTTGATATGCCGAATCTAACCGTGTATTTAGATTCTTAATTTTTGGTTCCGTTTTCAAATTGGTCTACATTAAGGTCCAAAGGGTCCAAAATTAAACTTAGTTTGATTTTAACAAAAATTGAATTCTTAGGGTTCTTTGATATGCTGAAACTAAACATGTATTTAGATTTTTGATTATGGGCCCAGTTTTCAAGTTGGTCCAAATCGGGGTCCAAAATTAAACTTTGTTTGATTTCATCAAAAATTGAATTCGTGGGGTTCTTTGATATGCTGAATCTAACCATGTATTCAGATTTTGGATATTGGACCATAATAGTTGAATGTCCAATTTATATGTTTAAGTTCTTAGACCACATTCATTCTGTGTCAGAAACCTATGCTGTGTCAAATATTTAATCACAATCCAAATGCAAAGCTGTATCAAGCTTGAATGTTGTGTCCATACTTGCCCCAACTGTTCAGGGTTCAACCTCTGTGGTCGTATCAAGCTGCGCCCTGCGGAGCATTTTATTTTATCTTGAAACGCTTAACACAGGTTCAAGTCAAATTTGACATGGGTCTCAAATTAATATGAAATAACTTAACCAATATATTTTTTGAATATATGAAAATGTTTCTTACTTTTATTTCCAGACATCACACAGATGGAGTGACAACTAGCCTTGTTGTAATATTTAACACCATTGCTAATAAGACCTTACAGTATGATAAAGTGTTGAACATCTTGGTTAAGATAGAAACCAAGGATAGATCCTGTGTAGACATCGTAGATACATGCATTGCTTTATATGGAAGTATCTCATTAGGCAACACAACCACAGCATTAGGTAAGGTCATATAGAAAACCAGTTTGTTGAAAATTTCAACATGTTTTTACCATAACAGTTACAAGAATTTTGTCAGCTTGGGAAATCATTGATTGTTCATTTTATTGTCAATCCTAATACGATCAAGTATTCATTAATTTTTTTTTTCATCATTTTTTGTTGGAAGTTCAATTTGAATTTAAAACTTGATTTTTCATCAGCTTTTTATACGACCGCAAAATTGAAAATTTTTTGGTCGTATATTGGTATGACGTTGGCGTCGTCGGCGTCGTCGTCGTCGTCGTCGTCGTCCGAAGACACATTGGTTTTCGCACTCTAACTTTAGTTTAAGTGAATGGATCTCCATGAAATTTTACCATAAGGTTCAATACCATGAAAGGAAGGTTGGGATTGATTTTGGGGGTTATGGTACCAACAGTTAAGGAATTAGGGGCCAAAAAGGGGCCAACAATAAGCATTTTTGTAACTTCCAGACAATAACTTGTGTGTAAGTGTATGGATCTCTCTGACATTGTACCACAAGGTTCCATATCACAAAGGGAAGGCTGTAATTGATTTTGGGGGTAATTGCCTCAAAGTTTTAGGAATTAGGGGCCAAAAAAGGGGCAAAAAACAAGCATTTTTCTAGTTTCATGACAATAACTTGTGTGTAAGTGTTTGGATATTTCTGAAATTGTACTACAAGGTTCCATATTACAAAGGGAAAGCTGGAATTGAGTTTGGGGGTAATTGCCCGAAACGTTTAGGAATTGGGGGCCAAAAAGGGGCCAAAAATAAGCATTTTTCTAGTTTCCAGACAATAACTTGTGTTCAAGTGTATGGATCTCTCTGAAATTGTACTGCAAGGTACCATACCACAAAGGGAAGGCTGGGATTGAGTTTGGGGGTGATGAATCATAAGGGGGTTCAAAAAATTTGGGGGGGGATTTTTTTTTTTTCTTTTTTTTTCTTTTTTTCCTTTTTTTTTCCTTTTAAAATTTTCCATTTTAAGTTGGTTATTTCTGATTAATATTTAAAAGCAAATAATAATGATATGGTAGGAGATACACACCAAACAGGATGTGTAAATTATTATCTAATAAGTATTGTGCAATAGCAAGAAATTTTCAATTGCACAGTATTGCACAATAGCAAGAAATCTTCAATTGCACAGTATTGCGCAATAGCAAGAAATCTTCAGTTGCACAGTATTGCGCAATAGCAAGAAATATCCAATAGCACAATATTGCGCAATAGCAAGAAATTGTCAATTGTACAGTATTGCGCAATAGCAAGAAATAATCAATTGCACAGTATTGTGCAAAAGAAGATACTTCGTATAAATTGCTTATTTCTTGATCAATTTCAATGGGGTTTTATTCTTGAATTCTTGGGGTTCTTTAATATGCTGAATCTAACCGTGTATTAAGTTTTTGGATTTTGGGCCCCGTTTTTAAATTGGTCCACATTGAGGTCCAAAGGGTCCAAAATTTAACTTTGTTTGATTTCATCAAAAATTGAATTATTGGGGTTCTTTGATATGCCGAATCTAACCGTGTATTTAGATTCTTAATTTTTGGTTCTGTTTTCAAATTGGTCTACATAAAGGTCCAAAGGGTCCAAAATTAAACTTAGTTTGATTTCAACAAAAATTGAATATATGGGGTTCTTTGATATGCTGAATCTAACCATGTATTTAGATTTTTGATTATGGGCCCAGTTTTCGAGTTGGTCCAAATCGGGGTCCAAAATTAAACTTTGTTTGATTTCAACAAAAATTGAATATATGGAGTTCTTTGATATGCTGAATCTAACCATGTATTTAGATTTTTGATTATGGGCCCAGTTTTCAAGTTGGTCCAAATCGGGGTCCAAAATTAAACTTTGTTTGATTTCAACAAAAATTGAATATATGGGGTTCTTTGATATGCTGAATCTAACCATGTATTTAGATTTTTGATTGTTGGGCCCCGTTATCAACTTTGTCCACATTGAGATCAAAAGGGTCCAAAATTAAACTTTGTTTGATTTCATCAAAAATTGAATATATGGGGTTCTTTGATATGCTGAATCTAACCATGTATTTAGATTTTTGATTATGGGCCCAGTTTTCAAGTTGGTCCAAATCAGGGTCCAAAATTAAACTTTGTTTGATTTCAACAAAATTGAATATATGGGGTTCTTTGATATGCTGAATCTAACCATGTATTTAGATTTTTGATTATGGGCCCAGTTTTCAAGTTGGTCCAAATCGGGGTCCAAAATTAAACTTTGTTTGATTTCAACAAAAATTGAATATATGGGGTTCTGTAATATGCTGAATCTAACCGTGTATTAAGTTTTTGGATTTTGGGCCCAGTTTTTAAATTGGTCCACATTGAAGTCCAAAGGGTCCAAAATTTAACTTTGTTTGATTTCATCAAAAATTGAATTATTGGGGTTCTTTGATATGCCGAATCTAACCGTGTATTTAGATTCTTAATTTTTGGTTCCGTTTTCAAATTGGTCTACATAAAGGTCCAAAGGGTCCAAAATTAAACTTAGTTTGATTTTAACAAAAATTGAATTTTTAGGGTTTTTTGATATGCTGAATCTAAACATGTATTTAGATTTTTGATTATGGGCCCAGTTTTCAAGTTGGTCCAAATCGGGGTCCAAAATTAAACTTTGTTTGATTTCAACAAAAATTGAATATATGGGGTACTTTGATATGCTGAATCTAACCATGTATTTAGATTTTTGATTTTTGGGCCCTGTTATCATTTTTGTCCACATTGAGATCAAAAGGGTCCAAAATTAAACTTTGTTTGATTTCATCAAAAATTGAATTCTTGGGGTTCTTTGATATGCTGAATCTAACCATGTATTTAGATTTTGGATATTGGACCATAATAGGTGAATGTCCAATTTAAAATTTTTAAGTTCTTAGACCACATTCATTCTGTGTCAGAAACCTATGCTGTGTCAAATATTTAATCACAATCCAAATTCAGAGCTGTATCAACCTTGAATGTTGTGTCCATACTTGCCCCAACTGTTCAGGGTTCGACCTCTGCGGTCGTATCAAGCTGCGCCCTGCGGAGCATTTTATTGTAAAATTACAATAAAAATTAAGAAAGGTAGATCCCAGTGTTTGATACTGTGTTATCACCATGTTTGGCATAGTAATCAGCAAAATCAGTGCAGAAAACTGTTTTCAATTTACAACAACCCTGGCTACTTTGTAGGGGGTTGGGAATATGGTTTTTGACCTGTCCATCATTTTTAAGTTTTCCAATGCTAGTTCAAATACTTTATATCCAATTGCAACCTTACTTGGATATATTTTCATATATAATGAGAGGAAGATCCTAATTGATTTTGAGGTCATCACATCAAATGTCAATTTCATTGTTACTTGAAATAGATTGAAATTTATTATACCCCTTGCAAACAAAGTTTAGAGGGGTATATGACAATCACCATGTCCGTCTGTCTGTCTGTCCATCCGTCTGTCCAGTTTTATTTCCAGCGCATTACTTTTGCATAATTGATATTAAGTTGATCAAACTTGGTATGCAGATACATTACGGGCTAGGGGTGTGTCATATACCAAAGTCTGGTCAATCTGACCTGGACTGCCCTAACTACTTTAAAAACTTGTCAAATTCGTACTGGCTCATAACGTTTGTACAGTTGAAATTAAATTAACCAAAATTGTATTCCGTTACATCATGGGGTTTGTGGTGTGGAATATACCAAAGACGTTTGACCTCTATAATACTGTAAATTCAGAAATTAATGCGTGCATTTATTATTGCGATTTTGTCATTTTAGACTAAAATGCAATTTTAATTTTTGCGATATTCAGAAAAATCCTGTTTGATTCATATAAAAAATTTCAAACTGCGAGTTTTAATTATTGCGATGATAACCCTGTCGCATTTTTCGCAATAATAAAAACATCGCAATAATTTCTGAATTTACAGTAGTTAAACATTGCCCACAGGGCCAAGTGAGCTTTTCTCATCCTCAGATGGCGTACGTCGTCCGTCGTCGTCGTTAACTTTTACAAAAATCTTCTCCTCTGAAACTACTGGGCCAAATTTGACCAAATTTGGCCACAATCATCATTGGGGTATCTAGTTTAAAAAATGTGTCTGTCGGGTGACCCGGCCAACCAACCAAGATGGCCGCCATGGCAAAAAATAGAACATAGGGGTAAAATGTAGATTTTGGCTTATATCTCTGAAACCAAAGCATTTAGAGCAAATCTGACATGGGTAAAATTGTTTATCAGGTCAAGATCTATCTGCCCTGAAATTTTCAGATGAATCGGACAACCCGTTGTTGGGTTGCTGTCCCTGAATTGGTAATTTTAAGGAAATTTTGCCGTTTTTAGCTCACCTGGCCCAAAGGGCCAAGTGAGCTTTTCTCATCACTTGGCGTCCGTCGTCCGTCGTCGCTAGCTTTTTACAAAAATCTTCTCCTCTGAAACCACTGTGCCAAATTTAACCAAACTTGGCCACAATCATCATTCGGGTATCTAGTTTAAAAAATGTGTCCGATGACCTCGCCAACCAACCAAGATGGCCGCCATGGCTAAAAATAGAACATAGGGGTAAAATGTAGATTTTGGCTTATATCTCTGATTTATCTCAAAGCATTTAGAGTAAATCTGACATAGGGTAAAACTGATTATCAGGTCAAGATCTATCTGCCCTGAAATTTTCAGACAAATCTGACAACCTGTTGTTGGGTTGCTGCCCCTAAATTGGTAATTTTAAGGAAATTTTGCAGTTTTTGGTTATTATCTTGAATATTATTATAGATAGAGATAAACTGTAAACAGCAATAATGTTCAGCAAAGTAAGATCTACAAATAAGTTGTCATGACCAAAATTGTCAGTCGACCCCTTTAGGAGTTATTGCCCTTAATAGTCAATTTTTAACAATTTTTTGTAAATTTTTGTAATCTTTTACAAAAATCTTCTTCTCTGAAACTACTGAGACAAATTTAACCATACTTGGCCATAATCATTATTAGGATATCTAGTTTAAAAAATTTGTCCGATGACCCCGCCTTCCAACCATCATGGCCGACTTGGTTAAAAATAGAACATAGGTCTGAAACTAAAGTATTAAGAGCAAATCTGACAGGTGGCAAAAATGTTCATCAGATTTAGATTTATCTGCCCTGAAATTTTCAGACAAATCCGACAACCCGTTGTTGGGTTGCCACCCCAGAGTTAGTAATTTTACAAAAATTTTGCAGTTTTTTGTTATTATCTTAGATATCATTATAATATCTAATATCTAATACTATTAATTATGATTTTAACCTTATTTTATATGATTTCCAAAGCATCAGTAAATACAGGTGAGCGACACAGGCTCTTAAGAGCCTCTAGTTGGTTATTATCTTGAATATTATTATAGATAGAGATAAACTGTAAACAGCAATAATGTTCAGCAAAGTAAGATCTACAAATAAGTCAACTTGACCAAAATGGTCAGTTGACCCCTTAAGGAGTTATTGCCTTATATAGTCAATTTTTAACCATTTTTCGTAAATTTTTGTAATCTTTTACAAAAATCTTCTCCTCTGAAACTACTTAGACAAATTTAACCAAACTTGTCCACAATCATCATTAGGGTATTTAGTTTAAAAAATGTGTCCGATGACCCCGCCCGTGAACCAAGATGGCCAACATGGCTAAAAAATAGTACATAGGGTGAAATGCAGTTTTTGGCTCATATCTCTGAAACCAAAGCATTTAGAGCAAATCTGATGAAAATAAAATTGTTCATTAGGTAAAGATCTATCTGCCCTGAAATTTTCAGACCAATCAGGCAACCCGTTGTTGGGTTGCTGCCCCTGAATTGGTAATTTTAAGGAAATTTTGCCGTTTTTGGTTATTATCTTGAATATTATTATAGATAGAGATAAACTGTAAACAGCAATAATGTTCAGCAAAGTAAGATCTACAAATAAGTCAACTTGACCAAAATGGTCAGTTGACCCCTTAAGGAGTTATTGCCCTTTATAGTCAATTTTTAACCTTTTTTCGTAAATTTTTGTAATTTTTTACAAAAATCTTCTCCTCTGAAACTAATAAGACACATTTAACCAAACTTGTCCACAATCATCATTAGGGTATCTAGTTTAAAAAATGTGTCTGATGACCCCGCCCGCGAACCAAGATGGCTGACATGGCTAAAAAATAGTACATAGGGTAAAATGCAGTTTTTGGCTCATATCTCTGAAACCAAAGCATTTAGAGCAAATCTGATGAGAATAAAATTGTTCATTAGGTCAAGATCTATCTGCCCTGAAATTTTCAGACCAATCAGGCAACACGTTGTTGGGTTGCTGCCCCTGAATTGGTAATTTTAAGAAAATTTTGCAGCTTTTGGTTATTATCTTGAATATTATTATAGATAGAGATAAACTGTAAACAGCAATAATGTACAGCAAAGTTAGATTTACAAATAAGTCAACATGACCAAAATTGTCAATTGATCCCTTAAGGAGTTCATAAATTTTGTAAATTTAAGGCCAAGTTCATTATAAATAGAGATAATAGTAAGGAGCAAGAATGTTCAGTAAAGTAAGATCTACAAACACATCACCATCACCAAAACACAATTTTGTCATGAATCCATCTGTGTCCTTTGTTTAATATGCACATAGACCACGGTGAGCGACACAGGCTCTTTAGAGCCTCTAGTTATCTTGAATATTATTATAAATAGAGATAAACTGTAAACAGCAATAATGTTCAGCAAAGTAAGATCTACAAATAAGTCAACATGTTTAAAATGGTCAGTTGACCCCTTAAGGAGTTATTGCCCTTTATAGTCATTTTTTAAACCATTTTTCTGAAATTTTTGTAATTTTTTACAAAAATCTTCTCTGAAACTATTTAGACAAATTTAACCAAACTTGTCCACAATCATCATAAGGGTATCTAGTTTAAAAAATATGTCCGATGACCCCGCCCGCGAACCAAGATGGCCGACATGGCTAAAAAATAGTACATAGGGTAAAATGCAGTTTTTGGCTCATATCTCTGAAACCAAAGCATTTAGAGCAAATCTGACAGGATAAAATTGTTCATTAGGTCAAGATCTATCTGCCCTGAAATTTTCAGACCAATCAGGCAACACGTTGTTGGGTTGTTGCCCCTGAATTGGTAATTTTAAGAAAATTTTGCAGCTTTTGGTTATTATCTTGAATATTATTATAGATAGAGATAAACTGTAAACAGCAATAATGTTCAGCAAAGTAAGATCTACAAATAAGTCAACATGACCAAAATGGTCAGTTGACCCCTTAAGGAGTTATTGCCCTTTATAGTCAATTTTTAACCATTTTTCGTAAATTTTTGTAAACTTTTACAAAAATCTTCTCCTCTGAAACTACTAAGACAAATTTAACCAAACTTGTCCACAATCATCATAAGGGTATCTTGTTTAAAAAATGTGTCCGATGACTCCGCTGGCGAAACAAGATGGCCGACATGGCTAAAAAATTGTACATAGGGTAAAATGCAGTTTTTGGCTCATATCTCTGAAACCAAAGCATTTAGAGCAAATCTGACAGAATAAAATTGTTCATTAGATCAAGATCTATCTGCCCTGAAATTTTCAGACCAATCAGGCAACACCTTGTTGGGTTGCTGCCCCTGAATTGGTAATTTTAAGAAAATTTTGCAGCTTTTGGTTATTATATTGAATATTATTATAGATAGAGACAAACTGTTAACAGCAAAAATGTACAGCAAAGTTAGATCTACAAATACGGCAAACATGACCAAAATTGTAAATTGACCCCTTAAGGAGTTATTGCCCTTTATAGTCAATTTTTACAATTTTCATAAATTTTGTAAATTTTTGTAAATTTTTACAAAGTATTTTCCACTGTAACTACCAGGCCAAGTTCATTATAGATAGAGATAATAGTAAGGAGCAAGAATGTTCAGTAAAGTAAGATCTACAAACACATCACCATCACTAAAACACAATTTTGTCATGAATCCATCTGTGTCCTTTGTTTAATATGCACATAGACCAAGGTGAGCGACACAGGCTCTTTAGAGCCTCTAGTTAGTGCATAACTTTTTTGCTGTAGCACTTAGATAGCAAAAGCAGCATACTAATCTCAACTTTGACCTTTAATTTCTGAATTTACAGTACAAACCTTGCTTGTCATATTCAAATTCGCAGCAAATATAGGTCACCCATTTCAACCACAAAAAATTTAAATCATATATTGTATATTTTGTAGAAGCTGTGATATGTAGTACCTGTACTGTGATACAGGATTGTATACAAGACAATGAAACTTCCAGATATCAGTGTGTGTAAGTATTCATCATTATAGTCAAAAAGTGGTATATTCAGATTTATATACATAACATTGAAGATTACAATTAAGTAAAGTGATATTCAAGTTCTGTTAAAAATTATTTGGCTCCAGTTTTAATAAAAGGAACATGTCACTGACTTTGAATGATTTGCATATTTTTCATGTTAAAATTTTGCCATTTTAATTTCAACATTTGCATTCTACTATTCAAATACACACAGGCGAGACATATCTCTGTCTCAATATTTTTTTTGTAAGTTTAAATAAATGTGTTTAGTGTTTTAAGTCCAGAATGCAATAATACATGAAAAGGAGAACAAAAATTCCCCAAAATATTTAAGAAATAATCTAAGGCTTGCATGAATTATTTCTTAAATACCACTAGAAAAAATGTGTTCAATCCTAATAATTCTTTACCCAAACATATTTATTTGTTGGCTACTATTTACTGACAAATCCACAGTTGCCATGTCTTAACTAAGGAGTGAGACGCCATGTTTAATGTGCGAATGATGCAATAGAAAAGAAAATGAAACAACACCTACCTCAAAACTCTATTTTAATGCGATATTATCTGAATTTAGAGCGTACACGTAACGGAATAATCTTCAGCTTGAGAGATTTTATTTGTATGACGTTAATGCGCCAATATCATTCATGAAACTTCGCAGAATTTTGTTTTATTTTGATTTTATACATATTTTAAAATCTTAACCATTAATTGTCCCCCGCGTAACGCGTTGCGGGGGACATGGAAATACCGGGCGTCCGTCCAGTCTTGTTAGCGCTCTTGTTGGTTGACTAATTATGGCTTCAATATAAAATCTATTGTCTAATCTAATGTCTTTACTAATCTATAAACAAAACCCACCAAGTAACATGTACCTGAAAATAATATAAACAAAATAATAGAAAACACAATAGTTAACAATCTAATCCTCTTCTCTTTTCATTAGAAATGTTAATGTCCAAAATAATAACGAAAATAAAGGCAATTGAAATGTCATAATATCAAGTAGTATTTATCTGATCTTTCTTCTCCTTTTTCATTTGTTTTTAGCTCACCTGGCCAAAAGGGCCAAGTGAGCTTTTCTCATCACTTGGCGTCCGTCATCCGTAAACTTTTACAAAAATCTTCTCCTCTGAAACTACTAAGACAAATTTAACCAAACTTGTCCACAATCATCATTAGGGTATCTTGTTTAAAAAATGTGTCCGATGACCCCGCTCGCGAACCAAGATGGCCGACATGGCTAAAAAATAGTACATAGGGTAAAATGCAGTTTTTGGCTCATATCTCTGAAACCAAAGCATTTAGAGCAAATCTGATAAAAATAAAATTGTTCATTAGATCAAGATCTATCTGCCCTGAAATTTTCAGACCAATCAGGCAACCCGTTGTTGGATTGCTGCCCCTGAATTGGTAATTTTAAGAAAATTTTGCAGCTTTTGGTTATTATCTTGAATATTATTATAGATAGAGATAAACTGTAAACAGCAATAATGTACAGCAAAGTAAGATCTACAAATAAGTCAAACATGACCAAAATTGTCAATTGACCCCTTAAGGAGTTATTGCCCTTTATAGTCAATTTTTTACAATTTTCATAAATTTTGTAAATTTTTGTAAATTTTTACAAAATATTTTCCACTGTAACTACTGGGACAAGTTCATTATAGATAGAGATAATTGTAAGCAGCAAGAATGTTCAGTAAAGTAAGATCTACAAACACATCACCATCACCAAAACACAATTTTGTCATGAATCCATCTGTGTCCTTTGTTTAATATGCACATAGACCAAGGTGAGCGACACAGGCTCTTTAGAGCCTCTAGTTTTTTTTTATTGTCAGTTACACCAATTAAAAAAGGCTTGAATTCAAAAGTCCTTTTTCAAAACAACGTAAGTATCTTGTCCAGAAGCACCATGCTTTGTAAGAACATTGGCGATTTGTTCATTAGTCTGAATCCATTTAATTTCTTTAAGCTCTCCACCTTGAAGCAATTGCTTTATTGCATTGATTTCAACCCTCAATCTCTTCTCTCCAACGGGTCCATCAGAGTATATTGCATGATAAAGGTCTTTGTTATCAAGTAGCTTGTCACACAAGTTTTAAATCATTGCTTGGCACAGTTAAGCTTTATATGTAGTATTTTTTGAAAAATGTCCTGCTTCATTCTGTTTCTATGGTCTGGCACACTTTACAAGTTTCACCTTTCTACCTTTTCTGTGCTTAATGGCAATACAGCACAAAACAGCTGTAAATGCACAATGTTAGGATATAGTGAACAGTGAAAATTTGGATTGAAAATAAAAAATACAGAAAAAGATGACCAAGGCACCCTACCAACCTTGCTACTAAGACCCTCTTTAACTTTTCCCATGACTCAAAACACCTAAACATATAAATTCTAAAGCCAGAAGTATGAAGACATATTTTATAATATCTTAGTAGGTTACTCAATGCTAGGAAAAAATAAGATTGAGTTATCTTTCTTTATTTGGGTGTGCTCCTTCTTTGGAGGATAATAAACAGTACGTAGAAGATGTAAATACGATCAACAATATGGCTGCCGATTTTGTTATTTTCGTATAAAAAATGAAGGCAGTCGATGAAAAATACGTCTTAATTTGCTATTTATTTCACGGAAAACAATAAGAGCAATGTTTTTAACGAGTTGATTATGGTTTTCGACTTTCTGTCAATTACGTTTTCTCCATGAAACTACGGTAAACATTGCTAATTGTGCCCAAGTTGTATGAACATTTCTTCAAGTTCAAAAACAATCAAATGCCGACTGACCAATTCTATTTCAATGAATTAATGTTGATGATCATTAAATGACCCATCCGATAAACGGATTACCTATAACAACAGATTATGACACCTGTTGTAACCGTTGATTAGCTTGGGGTCGTAAACAAAGTCATATACTTGTGGCCAGGTAAATTTTCGTAATTGGCTGATCATATCAATACGCACAAAATATATACCAATCGATCTTCAAAAAAGGCAGAGCGCCCTGCAATCTGTACAAAGGGCACAGGGCGGCACTCGGGAAAGGGCGGGCGGACCGCCCTGTGAAAACGACCTAGCTGGAACACTGACAAAACAAGTTACTGGAGTATGCTTCAATTCATGCTATTTATGCATTAATTCCTTAAACAGATCTGCTAAAGATATTACACAATCCACACCATCAGCTAAGGCCAAGGCTTCACTTGCCAAAGTACTACGAACAACCCTTCTCAATTTCTTTGACTGCCAAGTGATGGGGTTCACTTTACCATCATCGCCCATCAAAAAGACAACATAACCACCTTGACTTCCACCATCTGGAAGATTTCCAAATGAAGCATCACTGAACAACATAAATTTCACATTATGTCCAAGATTCTGGAATTGCAGTGAAACAGGACTATTTTGCACCTTCCTTATTATCTTATTGACTTTCTTTAGATCTTCAATAGTGCTAGTCTTAATTTTTGATGAAATGGCAGCAACATCAAATGCAATGTCTGCCCTGTTGATGAAAGAGGAGACGTTTTAACTCTGTCTTTATCTATTAAAACAGTCTTCAACATTCTGACATAGTCTTTCTGGCTGAGAACAATAGTTTCATTTTCTTGGCTGAGATCAAGACCCAAATATTTGAAAGACTCACAGGATTCTTTCCCTACCTTTGAACATATCCCTAATTCTGGATACAACACTTTCCTCAAAGGATCTGGATCCTGCCCAGAGAAAGTCATCTACATGAACTGCTAGGACACCAGTCAAACTTTTTTCATTATACCAATAAAATACTGCTGAATCAATCTTTGACACTGTTCCTCCACAATCTAGCAATGTTGTTTTAACTTTTTAGTACCACTTTAAGGATGCATCAGCAAGACCATATACACATTTGTTTAGTCGCCAGACTTTACCATTTGCTTTAGCTTCTTTAGGAGGTCTCAAGTAGACTTCTCTTTGCATTTTCTCTCCTTGAAGGAAAGCAGTTTTAATATCCACTGAATTAATTGACCATCTCTTATTAGCAATAATTGATATAATCAGTCGTAGAGACTGCTTTTCACATGTTGGAGAATTCTTTGGTATCTCATCTAGGCTGTCTTCTTCAAAACCTTTTGCTTCCAATCTAGCTTTTCTATGAAATTCGTTTTCCAATTCTTTCATAGTATAAACCCACCTTGTGGAGATACAGTTTTGACCATTGTCTTCAACTTCTTCATACTCATTGTGCTTTCTCCAGTTATCCAGTTCTGCCTCTTTAGCTTCGGTAAAATCAATATCACTTAAAAGTACATCTTCATTCTCGTCTTCTGACTGGTTTACAACTTTTAAATCATTGACTGTTCTTAGATCAATTGAAATCTGTTCACCCCTAATATTTTCTGGCTGATTGTATTCTATATTGTACCAGCTCTTCTTATCAGTTGTAGCCTTTCCTGCCAAAGCCTAAAATTATTGCTTCTCTTGTGTCATTTTCACCAGTAATTTTAAAATTAACCATCTGATCCTTCTTTAATTTCATACAATCATTTGCCCGTGACTCAGCATTATGTTCCATACTTTCCTCATGTATATCATTCTCTGCCTGATCCAAATCAAGGCTGTATCTCTCATCAGATTCAGGACTATCTTCACCATTCAAACTACCATTCTGGCTACCAGCATGACTATCATCTTGATCAGCACTATCAGCAGCACTCTCGTCTGCAGATCCTTCAACATTTTCTTGGTTTTCATCATTGTCAGTTTCATTGTGAAGAGGCTCTTCATCATCACTCTCATAGTATACTAGGTCATGATCTGGTTCAGTGTTGTTGTTGTTGTTATAGGTTTGAGCTTGCAACTTATGCACATGAGTTGACTTTGCTGTATGCTTATGAGTAATCTTTTGTTTTCTTTCAACATCAATGTCTCTTTTTATTCTACTTTCATGTACGCGCACATATGTACCTCCATATCTTACAAAAACAACTACAT